CTTTGCGGACCAGCCGGAGGGGGAGAGGGCATGGTTCCATGCAAGTGGTGGGCAAGCATGTGCAAATCCATTTGTGCAAGCGGGCATGCATGCCCGTCGCTTGAGCAAATAGAGCTTGCACACCCACACTTGCCCACTGCTCGCACAAGTCATCCACTACTTCTGTTGCCCGGTTCCAAAAGGCTCAAGGCCCAGTAGTGGGCTGTGGCCCAGGGCTTGGTGAGCCTTGTTCTAGATCAGGCATGTCAAACTTTGATGTCACGTGACATCGCGTGACATATCGCTACTTTTTCCCCATTGGGGAAATGGGGTGGGTGTGGTTTCATCGTGACGCATCTGGCCCACGGGTAGCAGTTTGACATACCTGTTCTAGATTATCACATGATGAGCCTTGTTACTCAAACATTAGAAGGTGGAACCCCAATCTAGAGCTTAGGCTGCTGAACCTCATGGTTATGCCTTTCACAGAGAAGTAGCTATTTGGGGAGTTGATGTATTCCTTGTAGAAAACAAAGATAAAAAGAAATCTTTCTTTTCAGCCCTGAAAAATGATAAGAGCTTATGTGTGAGAAAGCCACATTTACCATTTGATTCCATACTCCAATTTTTTGGGAGAACAAAAAAAGAGAATCAGCCACTAACCAGCAAGGTGAAAGAGACAAGAAGCAAGGAGAATGACCTTCAGATGCCAGTGTCTGCCAGGTGGAAAAACGTTTGGTGCACGTGGAAACACACATGCAAATGTATTTTGGAAACAGAGGAGAATATGTTTTTATAACAAGAAAACCACCTGATTAATTCCTATAATCATCCTATATCCCAAAGAGAAGCTGCTCAGGCTGAAGTTTTTCATAGATCAGGAAGTTTCTCAGATTTGAGTATGGTAACAACCTATTTCCGTTTAGCACTTCCATTTTAGATGGGCCTCCATACCAAAGAGATGGTATGGAGCAGGGTTGGTCATAACTGAAGCCTATCAAGATGAATCCGAAACAGAGTCTTCAGAAAAAGGCTACATAACTAAAGATAAGAATGGAGAAACTACAAGTAGTCTCCAACTTACAACTGATTGTTTAATGACCATTTGAAAATACAGCGGTCTCAGAAAGGCTGTTTTACAGCTCATAAAGAACCTCAGACTGTTGTAGAAGCTGTCCCTCAGTCATGTGATTGCAATCTGGTGCTTGGCAACTTGTTCAGACTTATGACCAGGTGTCCCCATAATCATGTGATCACCATTTGCAATCTTCTGTACCAGATTTCCCAGAAAGCCAACTGGGGAACTAGCAGGGAAGGTTGCAAGTTGTTGCTGCTTGCCAAGATGACTCTCTCTTGTCTCTGGGAGTTGACTGAAAGAGCTGTCTGCCAGAGCCAAACTCATTTAGCAAAAATGGAGCTCAGATCCTGATTATTTGAACTCTTTTTGCACCCTGCTGAGAGCATTCCCTTCTGTGTGTGAAGGGGAGATTACATTCTCCTGCAGGATGCAGAAATGAAGTTCAGATCCTGACAGTTTGAGCTCCATTCCTACACCTTATGAAAAGAGTTGCCTTCCACATGTGGATCCTGCTGAAGAAGTTCCCTTCCATGGATGGAGGAGAGATGACATCCTTCAGGAGGCAGCTTTTTCAGCCAACCCCTAGAGACAGCAGTGAGCCAAAATTCAGTCAGCAAGCAGTGAGGCAGTGCAGTAAGATAAGTAGCATGCGCCTTTCTCCCTCGGGCTGAAAATCCTGCTTGGATTTCAGCAGGGAGCATTTTTGTCTCTCTGAACAGACCTTCCCAGAGTCTTCCCCTACGCTCCCCCATCCAAGGCACCCTGCATTCATTACTGGGACTTCATTAACTTAACAACCCACAAGCAATTGCTTAACAACTACAGCCAGGAGTGCTGGGATTACAATCATTAAGCAAAACAGTCCCAGTAAGCATTCACATGGCATTTTACTTAATGATCACTTTGCTTAGCAACAAAGATCCCAGACTCAATTATGTCCTAAGTCAAGGATTACCTGTATTTTGTTTGTTTGTTTGCTTATCCCACTTTTATTATTTTTACAAATAACTCAAGGCAGAGAACACATCTAATACTCCTATTTTCCCATAACAACAACAAGAGCAGCAATCATATAAGTTAGCTGTGGGGGAATGTAATCTGAAGTTGCAGGAAGGAGTGGGGGCTCTTTCCCAGAGAGCGAAGAAACAATGGAACTTGGAATGTCTGCTGGGCAGGAAGAGGGAAAAGGCGGGACACCCCCCCAGCAATTCACAAATTGTAACTAACAGTTATGCAGATAAGTGGCAGGATTTCTGTTAACAGGCAAACAGTAAAGAACTCTCATAAGTAACTCCACGTGTCATTCTTGATTCTTTGTCCCTGACATTAGCAGAGAACGTAGAAGGAGCATTGAACATCATAGCTCACTAAGATGGAAAGCTTGCCCTAGGAAAGAATAATTCATCTGAATATTCCTAGATCTCATTCAGACAACTATTTGGACAGTTGTCTGAAGTACATTTTCCAGTTTTTGAACAAGAGCAAAGAGAGCTAGTATTATCCAAAGTGATACACAAAGTGATGATCTTAAGGTAACATTTTATTTCAGTTGTCCAATTCTGCCTCAAATGATTCTTGTACTCCAACCAAGTGGAGAAAACTGAGATGCTCATATAGCGTCTCACAAAATGCCTTGATTGGCTAAATCTTGCAGCCTGGAAATTGAATGGGAACATCTCTTGAACTCCTTGCCTCCAGCAAAATTTTTATCAGTAGGGTGTATCATTCAGTAAACATAAGCTACACTTAGTTGGAGTCAGTGTATGTGACTGAATCAAAGAATTTTTCCTCCAAGTGACAGGAAGAGATGTTAATCCTTAAGTGTTAAGCCTTTTAATTAGAAGATATGGAGTTAACTCTTCCCTATAGGGTCTGTCCTTTGATTATCAGAAGCATTTATACTTCCTAAAGAGGACATTTTTCTCTTTCCTTTCCTTCTTTGTTTTTTCCTTTGTCCATCTCCATCCAGTTTTCTTTCCTTTTTTCCTCAATTCACCTCTGTACTTCTTCCTCTTACCTTCAACCTCTTTTGCTCCTCCATTTTTGTTCTTCTCCTGAGGATGAGGGAATAATATATGCAGATGGAGATTGTTAGGTGACTGCCTGAACAAGTCCACACAGTTTTTTTGAAAATGTTTTCAGAAGTGGGTTATCATTGTTTTCTTCCCAGGGCTTAAACAGAACAAGTACCGTGTTTCCCTGAAAATAAGACCCAACCGGAAAATAAGCCCTAGCATGATTTTTCAGGATGCTCGTAATATAAGCCCCACCCTCAAAATAAGCCCCAGTTAAGATCATCAGCCAGATGGACACATTTAGTACCGTATTTTCCCCAAAACATCTAACTGGAAAATGAGCCCTAATGTGTCTTTTGGAGCAAAAATTAATATAAGACCCGGTCTTATTTTCAGGAAAACATGGTAGTACAAAGTTACCCAACTGGCTGTGCCTAAGGCAGTATTAGAACTCACAGCCTCCTGTTTCTAGCTTGGTACCTAATTCAAATGATATTTATTTTAATCTTGTCTTTGACTTTTTTGGGGGATGGGGAGAAATCAAACTTTTCCACTGCCACAAATGTATGTACATAAGATACTTGCATGTATATATATATATATATGTACAAGTTTATGGTGGGATGAAGAAAACTTCAGGATTAATTTCAACTGCAGTTAGCTGCCCTACTTTAACAACATAGGGAAACTGCACTAGAAGGGAATAATGTTTATAAATTTTTCCAAGTCACTCTTAGTCTTTCTTCTTTTGGGGGGGGGAGATTGTCATAAATTTAGGATTATTTTCCTTTCAGGCAAATATGGTAATTGAGTGATAGAGTTTGTTAATAATTGAAATATGAATTTCTAACATGATATATAGCTGTATGCATTATTTTATTGTATTTAAATAATAATGCATGTCTGTGGGGTGAAATTGGGAAATGAATATACATAAAGATACCAAGTTCTTGATTTTTTTTTGAGAGAGAGCAGTACTTTCATAGTACAGTATATTTTTATTTGAATCTTTAATATATGAAAAAAATATATTTTGTTTTTGTTTATATATAAATAGTATTTAAGCATATAGATTTATATTAAATTGAATTGTCTATTCCCTCCTCTCTTATAACTCTTACAAAGTACTGTTCTAGCAGTAGTAGCTTTGAGTAGTAAGCAACCATTCAAACCATAATGAATATAGCTTGTACAAATGGGAAAAGAAGGAAGGGTTGGGAACTTTACTTGTATAAATAGTTTGGTTATGCAAACTTTGTCTCTAGTATATTAAGTCTGTAATGTTACATTTATGTGAACATGCAGGGATACTTTGATTAAATACAAGAACTTCTGTTTTTATAATAATATTTTCTTATCAGCACAGTGATGCTTTCAGCCAGAATAATTTAACATGGTGTAATTTCACACATTTTGCCACTATTGAAAAGAAAAATCAAGTATTTCTAAAGCAGTAACTCTTTTTGCCATTTTTTTACATTTGGATATAATTGTTCTCATTGTTTAAATAAACAATATTGTCTTACAATGAAAAGAAGAGAGCGTTATCAAATTTAATTTTGTTCTATTTTATATTTGTCCAGTTAATAGATTCTGCAGAAGTTTATTGAAAGCTCTTATTTCTTCAAATCAGGAATTCAGACTGACTATATCCAAATTTAACACTATTCTTCTTCTGAGAATGATTGATAACTTTTCCTGTAACATCTTCCCAACTGTACTTCACTGCAAAGGGATTATAGACTTACGTAGCATTCATAGTGCCAAACATTGCACAATATATGAGAAATATAGACTTGTTTATGGAAGCAAAGCATATTTATAGGTTATATTGTTCCAGGCATTTTTGAGAGCCATCCATGTTTCTTGCTTTTATATCTATGTTATAGTCCACATGCTTTATCTGGATTATTCTGAATTCCTTGCAGATCAGAGATGAGTATCCACATGTTATGCAGTGATTTGCTACTCATGTTGCAAAGGAAATTTAATATGGCCTAGTAAAATTGACCATTGAAGAGCGTATGATGTCCACAGGTACAAGTGGGAAAAAATCCCATCAGGCTGTGAGCCTAGAAGGAGTTGACCCAGAAACATGCATGATAGTGTTTAAAACCCACTGGGCACAGGTAATGGAGCTGTGAGAACTTTTCTTCTTTTACTGTTCTTTATTATTGATTGCATTGTTAGGAACCCATTTAAACCATCAAATATTTGCTTATATGGTCAGAGTTCAAGCCAGTCCCATATTGTATAATACTAACTGACGCCAAACGTATCTTTATTGACTTTTGAAGGACTATATAAATCATTGCTTTTTTTAAAAAAAAAACACCCTTTTGATTAGTATAGATATAACAACCATTTGAATAAGCTCTAATTAAAACTGTTAGGCTCTACTGCCTAAGTGAAATAAAGTCCTTTTAAAATAATTTTATTTTGAATCTTCTTTGCCGGGTTATATTTATTAAATCCATCAAAACACTAGTTATGCTGAAAGGTTGCATTAATATATTTAGAAAATGCAATACATTATTTCTATGTAATATATTATTTCTGAATCCTGAATGGTTTATTTTTAATTAGTGTTGTCTAATGCCCACATATATTATATTTGCCAATAGAGCCCCTTTTGGTGTGGGCATTAGCAGTGCTTTTTTGTAACCCGCCTTGCCTACCCTACAAGGTTCCATCCAAAAAAGGTGCCGGAATTCCGTTCTGGGCATTCTATGAGAAAAAAAGCCCTGGGAATTAGTATCAATCTAGTATTTTATATCTTGTATTTCAGCTATTGAATCTTTACTCTTTAAATGTACTTGCCCATAAACGAAGCTAGGAAGATATTGGGTATTAACATTCAGGTGACAAAGAACATTCTTAGTTGCTCAACATGGTCATATGTTGGTGAGTAGATTGAGTCATGTGCTGCTCTTCTTAAGTAGCACAATTGGTTAGATTTTGGGACAGATATTTCAGATAAGTAATACATAGGCTGTTTCCACTCATTAATCCATGAGCCACTTTGAATGTTCTGAATTATTATGAAGATATTTGTTCATAAATGCAGTTTTTCATAATTAAAGATTTCCAGAATGACTATTTTAATGCCTATTGTATGATTGAATATGTATTATTTAATTTTTCCATAGGTTATAAAAATTTTAGAGAAGCATGACCCTTTAAAAAATATTCAAGCAAAATATGGGACAATTTCTCAAGATGAGGCCAGCACTGTGCAGAACTATGTAGAACACATGCTCTTCCTTTTAATTGAAGAACAGGCAAAAGATGCAGCAATGGGTCCTATCCTGGAGTTTGTGGTTACAGAGAATATCATGGAAAAGCTTTTTCTTTGGAGTCTCAGACGGGAATTCACTGATGAGATGAAAATTGAGCAACTGAAAATGTATGAAATGCTTGTCACACAGTCTCATCAGCAGCTTCTGCATCACAAACCCATCCTAAAACCATTAATGATGTTGCTGAGTTCTTGCTCAGGAACTACCATACCAGCCGTTGAAGTAGAGCTGGTGGTTCTTCTCAACCAGCTATGCTCAATTCTAACCAAAGATCCATCCATCTTGGAGCTTTTTTTCCATACCAGTGAGGACCAAGGAGCTGCAAACTTTCTAATTTTTTCTCTCTTGATTCCTTTTATCCATCGGGAAGGAACTGTAGGCCAACAGGCTCGTGATGCACTACTTTTTATAATGTCTCTTTCTTCAGAAAATTGTGTGGTTGCTCATCACATAGTAGAGAATACTTATTTTTGTCCGGTAAGTTTTTTCCAGCTATTCAAGTTAAGATTTTGCACAAAGGAGAATTAAATTTACCTGATGAATTATAATATGATTAATATTTATATATTATTTATATGTAAGGGTGTAGATTTATACATATGTTGTATACAGCATGTTTAAATGTGTGTTATGTATGTGTACACTTTGAGAGCAAGCAACTAACTTTACTGTGCCAATGTGTCCACAGTAAAAAATGACAAAGGTTTTCTATCTATTATGGCTATATAGAAATTCTAAATGGTATAATTGGGAAAAATTGAACTTGTTTAGAAAGCCCATCACATTGAATTGAGAAGTAAATTTGTTGTCTTAACTTAAACATTCAGCTTAATATTGAACTTTCTAAGAATAATTCAAATCAAAAGCTAAACTTGTATATTAAATTGTGGTTGTAATTATACTGAAATTTGATTTGTCAGCAGATGAGAAGTACTGCCAATTTATTGCAGATCGATTACTTGTGATTTACTGAAGTTAATATCAATATATGGTATTTATCTTACTGTTATTTACTATGTGAATTTGTGAATCTCTACCTAGAAGTATGCCCTTTTGAAGTTACTAGTAGGTACTAGGACCCTATTGAATGTCAAGTAGTTTGTCAGAACTGTCTTTTTTTCCTGGTCCGGTTTCCAAAATTTTGATTGAGTTTTCTTTTGTAGAAGATTTACTAGATATTTTTCCTAGATATAAGATAGTTCAATTGTATTGAATTCACAAGGCCCCAGTTCTAGTTATTTTGTGCATTTCAACTCATCATAACAATATGCATGATTTTTCAGTGGAACTTTGTAAGCTTAGAAGTTTATAAGAAGATTTACTTATAAGAAAGGACACTGAAGGAGGAGGGGGTTAAAGAAAAAGAAGTGGGAGATAATACCAATAGCACTTAGACTTATATACTGCTTCATAGTGCTTTACAGCACTCTCTGGGCAGTTTACAGAGTCAGCATATTGTCTCCTCATTTTACCAACCTTGGAAGGATGGAAGGCTGAGTCAACCTTGAGCTTGTCAGAATCAAACTCCAGGCTGTGGGCAGAGTTAGCCTGCACTGCTACATTCTAACTAGTGCACTAAGTGGTTGTGAAAAGCTTGATAATGCCAGAGTAAAATACTAAATTGAAATATATCCAATTGCCTCCAGCAAGAATTTGCAGGTAATTTATATCTTCCTGGTAAGCTTCAATAGAGGAGATACAATTCTGTGATGGCTTGTCACAAAACTTTGATATATGCTCCTTCACTTCCCATTCATTTGTGAATGGGAGGATTAAAAAAAACATGCTGATATTATATGTTACACTTATATCAACATGTTTGTTTTTAATCTTCCTATTCACAGGTCTGTCTTGAACAATGAAATTGAGTAAGCTGAAAATAATTTTATTGATAAGAAATGTTGTAATCCTAAACATTAATATAATGTTGATTTTTCATGTAATCATATAGTAAGAAAGGACCATTTAGACCAGTGGTTCTCAACCTGTGGGTCGGGACCCCATTTGGGGTCGAACGACCATTTCACGGGGGTCGTCAAACGCAGTCTACCATTCCCCCCCCCTTTTCCTTAGCCGTGCTACTCCCGTTTATTCTATTGGCTTTTGAAAGCCAATAGAATAGACTCTCTTGAATAGAGTCTAATTCTATTGGCTTTCAAAAGCCAATAGGAATTGTCCAGGCTGTCTCTGCCCTGCTGAGCCCGCCAAAAGTCCCATTCTGCAAACGGTGCTGCACCAGTTGAATAGTCCTCGACTTACGACCGGTTGAGTAGTCCTCAACTTACAACCAGTTGGGGGTCGCGGCATTAAAAAGGTTGAGAACCACTGATTTAGACATTGAGCCTAACCCCCAGTGGTGGGATTCAGTCAGTTCGCACCAGTTTGGCAGAACCGGTAGCTAATTTTTTGTTGCCCAGGCCCAGAATGGACTTCCAGAAGCAGCATCTACACCAGCGGTTCTCAACCTATGGGTCGCGACCCCATTTGGGGTCGATCGCCCATTTTTCGGGGGTCGCCAAAGGCGGCGATCTGCCATTTTTCGTGGTGACGTGCACGCACGGCGCACATGGGGGCGTCGCTGTGCACGCACGCCGCACATGGGGGCGCCGCCGTGCATGCACGCCGCGCATGGCGGCGCCGTGCACGCACGCCGCGTATGGGGGGGAGCCCCGCGCATGCGCACCGTGCACGGGGGTGGCGCCGTGTACGCGCGCCGCGCATGGGGGCCGTCGCGCATGCGCATCGCGCATGGGGCGGTGCCACGCATGCACGCCGCGCGTGGGGCCCCGCCCCCATGCGCGCGGCCCGACGCATGTGCAGAACGTTTGTGTGACGGGGGTCGCCGTCACACAAACGTTGAGAAGCACTGATCTACACAGAGAACCGGTTGTTCACATATTTGAATCCCACCACTGCTAATCCCAAACTAACTGCAGCAATCCAAGATCAAGCATTGCCAGTAAGTGGCTGCCTATTCTCTGCTTGAACTGATGGGAGATTGTTCCACTTTCAAATTGCTCTTAGTGTTAGTTTTTTTTTCTTACAACAACCAAATATGCTTTCCTGTAACTTAAATTAATTATTTTTATGTCTTGCTTTCTGAGATGATGGAGAACTAGTCTTCTATAATATTGCCTTTTTTAGATACTTGAAAAGTATCTGTCATATCCCTCTCAGTCTTCTTAAAGAATCCCAATTCCTTCAGGCATAGGACTTAGTTTTTAATACCCCTTAGATCAAGGGTCCCCAACCCCTGGTCCATGGGCCAGTACCGAGCCGCGGCATGCCAGCAACCGGTTCGCACAAACAAGCAAAGCCCCATCTGCGAGATGCAGGCAGCACACAAAACCATGCACCCTCCAGTTCGCAGAAAAACCTCTCTCCATAGAACCGGTCCCTGGTGCCCAAAAGGTTGAGGACCTCTGCCTTATTTCCTTTCTCTGAATCATGTTCCAAAATGTCATAAAATGGGTTGGGCTCCCGCAATGCAGACTAAAATGAAACCATTATCCCTCCCATCCCCAATGCAATTCTCCATAAAGATATTTCCAGCCTAGAGAAATCTTGTTGGTTTAATTTAAATGAATACATATAAAAATACTTATTTTTAAAAAGGTATATCCATGATAAATACTTTTACTATATCCATGCTGTTGTGTACATGCACATATTTGCCAATTAATTTTTAGGAAGTCTTTTTATTTAGAGGATTAAAGCTAAATGTATTAACCTTCAAACAGTAGGGGCCATTATTGTCAAAATACATTTCTAATTAGAATAATTGTCTTAGAATGTTGGAGTGAGGCAAGCAATAAAGGTAGCAAACCTGAGGCTATAATAAAAAGAACACAGACTATTTCTGAGGGCTGTTCAATTGTTAAATAACTCTAATATGCAACCTGTATAAGAATGATCTTTCCCGTTTGAGAAGCCTTGGTCTCCCCTTGAGAGAACTCAGAATGATGCCTTAGATTTGGGGTTTCTTATTATTTCCCCATGGATGCAATTGAATAATCTAATTCTGATTAAAGTGAATTAATTCCAGTTAAATGTTCTACTCTATGTAAATTTCCTTATGATTAAAATATATACAGAATGGAGCAACTAACAGTATCCTGCAACTTGAAATTATGCTGTTATATTTAAGATGTTTGGGGAGATTTATTTAGGACATACATTCTATTTTAGAAGTTGGAGACTTTCTCCTCAAAACATGTACATTTTTAAAAAATTGCATGGTAAATGCTTGCAGCCTAATAAAATAGTTTGATTTTTAAGTGGCAGTTTATGTGAATCCAATTACTGTGATTTACAGTGTGGTTTATAGCTTAGCATATTGTATGAACCTAGGCAATTGTGATTCATTTAATAAATTATGGTTAATCAAACCAGATACCGCACAGTATTTGAATTCTGTCAATAATGTATCTATGGGAGTTACTTCTATTTGGCAAACATGTCATGCCCTATAATGTTCTCTGACTTCATAAATATGTTCTACCTCTGGAAGCAGCTAGCAATTATGAAGATCCATGCTCACATATATAAGAAGCTATGCAAGATATTATAATTGGGTTTAGAGAATTGACCTTGGAAATGTCATCCCACAAGGAAGTTTAAAATAATAAATTGGCCTCTCACAAGCGCAGTTTATAGCTGTGATTTGCATGCAAAATATCTCCCAAATCTATTTTGCTGCTGGCAAAGTTAAACAGTACTGGTTTCAATAGATGAATTGGGAATCGCCTTCAATGGCTTGGAAGCAAAGCATGACCAGTATCAAAGACAATAAAGTCAAGATTTTAATTAAACTAGATCAGGTTTTAATATACAATATCTAAGCATAGTAGTACTTTAAAAGTAAACAATAGCATTATTTTAGTACACTTTGGCAGATTTTCTGAAACTACAGCAGTATTGCGGCTTTTTATCCTGTGCAAAATTGTTGTGGGCCATGGTAGCATATTATTAGATAATATTTTTTCACCATGACTTTCTTTATTGCCTGTGATGACCTCACGTGGAATGTTTCTAATATTCAGCAAAATTCAATTTGCACTGAGCTGAATTTTCCCACTTGTCATCTTCATCCATTGTGGCTACTATAGAATTAGAAGAATTGATTAACTTCCCTGGATCTTAAGAGCAAACTTTTCCCCTACTTCCCATATCCTAAAATACGATGAGAAATCTTCCTCTGATCCAGTCCTGTTGTGACCCAAGTCCGTTGACTTTGGAGACCCAGTATACAGTCAAATCATATTCATTCTCAGAGGGATCAGCTACCTAGAACTTGTGGTAGCTAGAAAAGTGAAAATGGAGAGAAAAAGAACTGGATTTACATTTCTTTTTTATGTTCCCTATGTCAGTCAGGGGTGGGGAGGAAAAATAAGGAAGTGGGAAAGACCATTCTTTTTGTACATTCTTCTGTTGCTCAGTTTTATTTATTGAAATAAAGATGATTGGAAGGACAGCTTTCAGGAATAATTGCCTGCTGGAAAAAGATAGCTGCTAAATTAACACATTGGCAAAATAAATAGATGGGAAGCTAATGTCTTTATTTATGTGACTAGAATACATCAAACCTAGAGATATATTGTCAAATTAACATTTCTGAAAGTTATTTTCCTTCTTCCTGAGTTTGGTTAATTGTACTGGAATAAGTTTGTAAGCACGTTTCCAAGCAAACACACAAAAATTTAGAATTGGCCAGATATTTTGTTTTTAAATGAATTAATACGTCATTTTGACTCCTGTGGAAAAACAAACTTGCTCTTTTATCTATTTCAAATGAATTTTAGCTAGTTCTTTTTATGAGTTATGGCAGAGGCCCCCAACCTTTTGGGCACCAGGGACCAATTCCGTGGAGAAAGGTTTTTCTGCAGACCAGAGGGGGCGTGGTTTCGTGTTCTGCTTGCATCCAGCGGATGGGGCTTTGCTTGTTTGTGCAGACTGGTTGCTGGCACGCTGCGGCCCGGTGCCGGTCCACAGACCGGGGGTTGAGGACCCTTGGTTTTTATTTTTGCTTTGTCTCCAAAATTATATGTCTGTGGATGGGTAGATAACTAACAGATACAAATTTATTTCTCTCAGTCTCATCTGCATATGTGTGTTTGTGTGTTTAAAAAACAGTAATTATTTTCATTGCTCCTATCAAGATTTTTTTAATTTGAACATGCATTTGTAAACCTTAGAACTCTGCAGGTAATCCTTGATGCATGACCACTAATGAAGCCTGCCAACTACAGTCACAAGTCAGGGCAGTCATAAAGTGGGTAATGATGTGACTGACCTGATTTTATGACAGTTTTTGTGGTGGTCATTAAGCAAATGACCATGATTGTTAAGTGAATCTTTGTTGTGAAGCAAATGCCGTGGTGATTCAAATCTATTGGTTGCTATAAGACATTTTTGCTGAAAAGACTTACAAATGGAAGTAAACACCAGTTTTCAGCAAAAGCATCATAAATCATGGTCACATGATTGCAGGATGCTGTAAATGGTTATAAATGATGGACAGTTTCCAAGTGCCCAAAGTGTGAACACAGGAGGGTTCCAGCCATTGGAACTTAGTTAGAAGTAGGTTGTAAGTACTTGTGTGTGTGTGTGTGTGGATGTTCCTATGGTAATTTCGAATGATCACTAAGTAACTGGTTATAAGTCAAGGACTACTTATGCCTGGTGCTCTTTCATGAAGTTTTGCTTGTATTAATGCCAAGTGTAAATCATTTCATAGTTATTTAGCTCTAAATCTATAGATATATATTTAAAGTGAATTTAATTACACCTTGTCTTTCATATATATATATTTTCTGGCGACTATAAAGATGGTATCTTTGTAATATAGGCAGATTGTGGATGAGTGAATCCCATTTTAAAAGCGCTATAGCCTATTACTCAGAAAGAAAGAGATATGTAAAACAGCAAATTGTGGGAGAAAATTGCCAAAATTTAGAAAAAAAGATTTCCACATTCTATGCTTTCCATATCTAATGTCTTTCCTGGATAATATGGATGTTTATGAAGCTAAACATTGAGAAATATGAATCAGATCAACAGACAGTATATATAATTCAGGAAGCCATAGTTGCATCATAGAAATATGTGTTTCTGTTTGCTATTTAAATGTTTAATCCAGTTATCAAAACTGTGGAAATGTTGTAACATGAAGGATATAGCCACACAACACCATTGCTTGATAGAGAGCCTTTTCTGTTTTCTATTAAAAAAAACCCTGCAAGTTGTATTTATTTTGCAAATATTTCAATTGGGAAAGTTCTCTTTGCATTAATTTGTTCGGAAATACTTTTCAAGTGGTAACATTAAGTACATACAAATCTGCCATTAGCCTAAATTCAGATGCTATTCAACTGCGTAATGGCAGTTATTGGAAGGAAATAATCTAGATTACTGAAATTCTGCAAACTGAAAGTGTTTCTAGCCTTATAACAAAATGCCAAAAATGTTTTTTTTAACCAAAGGGGAAAAAAAAAACTCACCCTGTATTTCTTCTCTCTCTTTTTCTTTCTCTTTCATCTTGCAGGTGCTAGCAACAGGCTTAAGTGGTCTGTATTCATCTTTGCCTACGAAGCTGGAGGACAATGGAGAAGAATGGCACTGTTTTCTAAAAGATGACTGTTTACTTTGTCCAGCTCTTGTACAATTTATGAATTCTTTTGAATTCTGCAATGCAGTAATTCAGGTACTGGGCCAGAGAAAAGACTAACAAATGGAAATAGTATTTTAAAATAGTAGTATTCATTTTTGTAGATATTTAGAAAAAAATATTGGGTTATTTATTTTATATGTGTGATATTCTAATTTTTTTAAAAGAGTGAATATCAGCATAAGTTATATTTATATGTTAATATATAAGTGAAATACAAATTTATTTAGAAGAGCCATGATGGTGCATTGGTTAGAATGCAATATTGTAGTATACAAGTCTAAGTGCTATTGCTATTATTGTTACAAAAAGTTAACAATTTACATGTATTTGTAAATCAACTTTTATTGCAAACAAATAATTTAGGGTTTTTTTTGGGGGGGGGGGGAATCCTGTGCTTTGTGATACAGGTAGTGCTTGACTTATGACCATAATTGGGACTGGAACTTCCATTGCTAAACAAAGTGGTCCTTAAGTGAATTACAGCCATTTGTAACAACCGTTTTTGCCATAGTCATTAAGCAAATCACATAGCTGTTGAGTGAATCCAGATTTCCCTTATTGACTTTGCTTGGTGGAAGCTACTTGGGAAGTCCTAGATGGTGATTACGTGATCCCAGTATACTGCAACTGTTGTAAATACATGCCAGTTGCCAAGAGTCCAAATTTTGTAACCCAGGGAATGCTGCAATGGCCATAAGTGCGATTAGCAGTAATTCATTTTTTTCAGCATCATTTTAACTTTGAAAGGTCATTAAATGAATGGTCGTAAGTCAAGAATTACCTGTAATTACATTTTGCTTTATGATAACAGAATATACTGTGTATATATATATGAGTTTGAATTGTTCAGTATTTAAAATTTGTCTGGTTTTCTCATATTCTTTATTTTAGATAGATTAGTAATTGGGTTTTTTTCCATTCTGCTACTTGTTCCTCATTGTTTAGTGATAAGATTATATAGTATACCACTTTCATGCTGTATTCAGGATATTATTGCATCTATATCTTTGCTTTGATTTGTGCAGGTTTTATTAGTCACAGAAACTCAGTAGTGTTTCCAGAATGTAAGACTTTGTATGAGAAGTTTTTGTCAAAGGAATCTCTGCCAATTATGTTTTTAAAAGGTTGTATATTTGTTTTGTATACATGCACATTCTAAATATAGAATAATTTCTGAATATGGGAGCCATTCTTAGGAGTCAAAGGCTATGCTTTCCTTTGAGTGGAGTTGTTATGACCCAAATAGGCAAGACTAGGCAGGCCTCCAGAGAGTTCCTTATTGCTCTTGGAAAGGGTTAACAAACGACCCTCCACTGACCAGCCAGGCTCCATCCCCAGTCCCCCCAAACAACAGCCCTTAATTACTTGGCAAGTCCACAAGCAAAAGTCCAAACAGAAAGCCAGGACAGTTCTCAGAGCCAGGCAAAGGTCCAAGGCAAGGAGCAGTTTTCCAAAAGGGGCACAGGAAAACAAAAGACAAACACAGTTCACAAACAAGGGCACAGTTCAAACCAAAAGGCAAAGAACACTTCTCAAAACAAGATGGGGTCCAGGGCAAAGCAGGTTTGAAAGGAGAATCTTCAGGGTTAGGGCAAGCCAAGAACAGTCCTCACAGCAAGGCAAATGACTCACAGAGCAAAAGCAGTTCTTAAAGCAAAGCAAAAAGCAGTCTTTGATGCAGACAAAAGCAGTTCTTAAAGCAAAGCGAAAGCAGGCAAAACTCTGCGCTGACTCTGCCTTCTTTCCATTCTTCGCACTTGGGGACTGGGTGGGGGAGGCATTTGCTCTTCTGCTTTTCCTTGATCAGCATGGGCCCGGGACTGCATTGTCCTCGTTCTCAGATTGTTCCTCCTGAGCCATAGAGACTGCACCATCCCCATCCCCATTCACCAGCTCCTGCTCCATCTCCTCTTCTTCCTCTTCAAACTCGGGCTCCACAGGGCCCTGACAGGAATGCTCTTAAAAATAGCAGATCGATCCATTCATTTATATTTCGATTATAAAAAATAGTCATGTATTAAATACTGTTTGCTATTTTTAACTGAAAGATGTAATGCAGTACTTTGTGAAGTCCCTCAAGATCATAGCCAAGGTTTTATATTAGCATGTTGACGCTTCAGGCTTACCTAGTCCAGCACCCTGTATGAAACAGCCAAAGCAGAATGAATAAAATAATACTCTCCAGCTTGTGGTTGCTGATAATTGATATTTAGAGGCATACTCCGGTAGATAATACAAATAAGCTACAATTGCTAGCAATGATTAATAACTTTATGTTTCATAAAACATGGAGTATCAGAGGCTTTGGATGGCGCAGTACAAGAAAGTACTAAATTACTAAGGATTAATTTAATTAACTTTAAAGTTTAAATTCATTTCTTAACTGGCCTCTAGTCACTTTTGAAGAAGTTTCTTCTTTGGTTGAGAAAAGTTTTACATTCTTGTTTTAAATTTCCAAGTAAATGACTGGCAGCAAATTTCAGTGTTTATGTTGGTGAGAAAAAAATGATCTTTTGCTATTAGAATTAATTAGATAATCCGGGTTCTCATATTATGGAAGTAAGTGTTTACCTATTTAAATTATTCACAGCACATATAGTTTTATCTATCTTTGGATGTAGATGAACAAGTTGAGTCCAAGGGTGGGGTCAAATGTGTCATTAATTTAAAGTGGCTATACTCTCACAAGAAAACTAAGTCAGCGCCCCATGAATTCTGTTGACTCTTATATAGTGCCTTGACTATTAGTAGATCAGATTTTTGTGAATAGGTATCATGAAATAAACTTGTAGTACTTTTGAACTCTATCCCAGCTCTGGTTTTTTGTGCGTGAAACTGTTCCATCTTATCTACCTTTTCAATAGCTAAAATGAATTGACTTTTTAAAAACAATTTTGATACTCAAGTTTGGTGATTTGGTTTTTAAATTTCATGATAGATTAGAAATAAAGAGAAATATAACAAATACCTATTGCATAGCTTATACAGTTCATTATCAGTAAAATATTAAATTCAATATTTGGAAGTTATGAAATTTGTAGTGATTTTTTTAACATTAACTGGTTAAGATTTAGTAGGTAATTTGGTGTATATGTTTCTCAGCAATGAATTTACATCTTCATTGTGAGAGACTAATAGTTAAGAGTGTACGCAAAAATGCTTGAATTGAAATCATTTTGATGGATTTTTTAAAAAAATGTTTTATTTATTTTTTTATTTTGTCAAGAATGCTAAAGAAGGAGCCTATAATGATTTGGAATAGACTGAAGTCAGGCATGATGGGAAAGATATTTTAGAGATCTGTATGGAAATGATAGTGATTAATTGAAGATTAGAACTGAAAAACCTGCTAAAAGCATTTCTTTCCAATAAATAAATAAATAAATGAGTAATACATTTTTGCTTGGGGCGCACAGCTATCTCCCAATTTTTATTTTTTTTAAATTTTAGTTATTTTTTCTAACTGCTTTTTATTAAAAGGTTTATGAATAGCTTTTATGCTTTTATGTATATTTGTACACTGATTGGAGTCACTCTCTGAGGGGAATGGGCAGTTTCTAAATATATAAATGATATATAAATGATGTAAAATTTCTGGAAAATGTTAATTTTGCAAGTATAGATGTTGGACCTAGAGAAAATTTAAAATATGGATATGGTTTATTCATCGTTCAGCTTCTTTAAATGTATGTTAAAATTGCACAGTAGTAAAGTAAATGATTAATTATTGTTTCAGGTATATCCTTCTCTTTCTCTTTCCATTTTTAGGTGGCACATTCTTTGATTCGTAACCAGCTTGTGAATTACATTTATAATGGATTTTTGGTTCCAGTTATGGCCCCAGCTCTCCATAAGGTTAGTGATAAATAATATATTTTAGTCAATGAATCATAAAAGTTAAATTAATTTATATTCAATATTTGGGCTTTGAAAAAGCAGAGAACCTGTTTGGTATAGTAGTTAAGGCATGAGGTTAGAAACCAGGAGATTAAGTTGTAGTCCTGCCTTGCTCACAAAGCCATGATGTTGGGTGATGCTGGGCCTATCATTTTCTCAGCCCTAGAAACAAATGACAAACCACTTCTGAAATAAACCTTTGCCAAGAAAATTGCAGAGACTCGCCCAGATAGTCTCCAAGAACATGACGCAATTGAATGAAAGGAAAAAAACAAAAGCAAAAAGTGACTTCTCTTCGGTAGAACAAAGTATTCTTTTAAAATTTGATGAATGAGATGTCAAATAGATAATACTCCAAATCATAAGCTGGCATATTTTTAATATAGAGGCTTTTAATATATATTTTTGGCAACAATGCAGGTGTGTACTGCATTAGATCAGTTATGTGTAATTTCATTATGCAAGAGGCTTGACTAATACAACTTGGATTATAGGAGTAAAAAAAATCAACCTAATATTAAAAGCTTGTTCATACATAGTTCATAATTCTACCTCTGGTTCTGATATTTTCCTGATATGTTGAACAAAGCACAAATGTTTGTTTCACTTGAAGAGTTTAATAAAACAGGCATTCACTTTTAGTTGAATGTCTCCATTTATATGCAGAACTTTCATTAGCTCTTAATTATTGTGTAGTCTTTTATTTGCTATAAGAGTAGTAAAACCTTTCTTTGTTCTTAATAAAGCCTTTTTATTTTTGGAAAAAGGTATGTGGGTAAGGAATTATCTCTGCCTTCTCTCTTTGATTCTTGTAAATCTTTTGTAAACTTTAAAAAAAACTTTAAAAGAAAAATCACTTTAATAAGTAGAATAATTAATTTAAAATATATGGAGTTCCTCGACAAAGGATTTCTTGACAAAATTCATTGTTAATTATGTTTTTATCTTTTTTCTCATTATGTTTTGAATCTGTTGCCTAAATAAACATGTTATTCTCCAAATGCAACCCATAAACATAACAAGCTAGACCGGAAATTTAAATTAGAACCTAGCAGTTACCTCTAATGTAGATTGATATTTCAAAATGTATTCTTGTATTATAAACATTTTAGCTATTAAATGTTGGAATGTTACATCAACTTATGAAAATCTTTCAGCATAACTTGCTATTTAGAACATTAATAAAATTCTTAGTTTTGCTTATCTTTACTTATCTTCTAATTCTCAACATGTGATATGACGTGCACTTATTAATTACTTTTTTGTGGTCATTTTTCACATATACATACGTACATACATACATCACACCTTTATTAAGTGTGCAAAGTACTAAGTAGGGGGAGACGGATTGGGCTTGAGAGAGAGCGAGTGGTCCAAGATTACCCAAACAGCTTTTCTGCCTAAGGCAGGACTAGAACTCATAATCTCAGGTTTCTAACCTGATACTGTAACCACTGGACCAAACTGCCTCTTTTATCAGTCCCCCCCCCGAATAATGGTATCGGTAGAGAAGATTTGTAGGATGTGAAAGGGATTTTGTAGATGAAAAAAAGTGTATTTAGAGTAGCTACTAATAAGATACTTGAATAAAAATAATATGATTGCAATCTTACATTTTTTTTCACACAAAATAGATAATTTAACCTCTAATAATTTATTAAACTAAAGTGGCCGCAGTTTATTATTTCCACATTCAGAGCAATTTTGAACATACACCAACTGTTATCAGTGTCATTTATTTTATCTTTAAATACATTAGCTAGAGAAGGTGAGTGTCCGCCATCTAGTGGACTTGAAGAAGAGCCATGATACAGCCCTGAAACCTAGGATTAAGATTATATTTGCTAAAGTAAGAATATACATTGTCCTTTTTTGTTTAGTCCCTCTCTCCCAAATATTAATTAAATTCTACTCTGTCCTGGTCAGGCCCCAATAAAGTCCTGTGTCAAGTTCTGGATGCAAAAACAAAACAAAACAAAACAAAAGAATAAAAGTAAACTTCTGATTATCACAGTTTAGAAAGGATAGTGATAGTAGTAGGAAGTTTAAAGGACAGCTCCCAAATTAGTAAAGGGTCTGAAATACAAGACCTGGAGGAAATGTTCAAGGATCTATCTCTATTAAGCGTACAAAAAAAAAAAAAGCTGATATAGCAGTCTTCAAATATCTTACAACAAGCGTTGACATAAAGAAGGAGAGTGAACTTATTGTCTGTGGGTCAGAATCAGGATTGATCTAACATTCATAGAACAATGGGAGAGAATAGGCAGATTGTCAGCCACTGAATCAGGCTGTTATATCATGTGGGGAGACTTCCTTTGCTAGGAGTCTCAAACAGAACCAGAATAGTCATCTTTCTGTGCAATCCTGCACTCAGCGCTGGGCTGGACTAAATTATTCTAGTGGCATCTGAAAGACAACTTTTGGGGGTAGATCACTTCTTTCTAACCTCAATAAGAAAGTTTTTTTGTCCCCACATGTTACAAAACTCTCTTTATTATAAAGATATTTCTGATCAGTAATCCAAGCTGAGCCGCTCTTGTCTCTGGCTAGCACTTTTACATGTGTATATTTTTAAAGATTTATTTCTCTGTGTTGGTCTCTCATCTCAACTAACTTAAACGAAAGAATACTTTAACATTGTGCTAATTTGAATAGAATTGTATGCCCCAGAAAGTGATGATGTAACAAGAAATTACTGTTAATTATAGAAACCTTTTTTCCATTAACTGTTAGAACTTTTTTTTGTTAACAACTTTTTTCTGATACCATGCAAGCTCAGTTTAATGAACCACTCAAGGGACAAACTATCCATTGTTCCCAGTTACTTGTTAAGTGTGAAGTTAAATCTTCATCTCTGTTTTCACCATTCTGTAAATGTAAATTATTCTTTACAGAAGAATTCTTTAAAATGTAAATTTCTTCTATTACTATATGGCATTTATGTAAAGACATTATGCAAATTATATAAATTGATACAAATGTTATTATTACCGTATTTACATCATTATAAAAATTGTGTAGATCATTACAGATAAAGTATATTTCTAGATAGTTCTGGATTTACAACTGGCAATTGGGGACAGATTTCTGGTCGTAAGTTGTTTTATTCATAAGTAAAGGTCCAATTTTAAGACATTTTTTACAGCCCTTATTATTGATTAATTTTATATATTACTTTAAGAATCTTAAGTATTTGACCACTGTTTTTCAAAGCTGTTCTACAAAATTGTCTCTGGCTTTCATTTTTTGGATGTTATTTCAACATTTTTATTTCTTGACTTTTTGCCTCATAATAATCAGGGCCTTGTAATCTTTGTAGTGAAATTGATTTTTCAGATGATTTTCTTCCTATTTGAATTGTTGGCTTGTAATATAACATATAATCTTCAGTATTTTTAGATCTCAAAGATTCATATAAAAAATTGCAACTATGCAGCTATAATCCACGGGGAATATTTTTATATTTATTTAATAAGACTTCATTGGTAAAGATAACAGTTTATTCTCTTAAACTAAATTGAAATGCATATTCAAGCATCATGCATTCCCAAGAAATTTTGCAAGAATGAAGTAAAAGTGTTTTTTTTTGCTGAATATATTCTGCGCTATACTTCAACAGTTGCTCCACTGTTAGAACATTGTGTTTATTAACAAGATATTTAGACACTGAACTTCTACAAGTAATTTTATAAAATAATATATTTCCTGCAGAGAACATAGTGTGCAGTATTTCAGTTAATGCTCCTCTGATAAAATCTTTAAACTTCTTTCTCTTGGTGGATTTACATATAAAGGAGGTTTAAACAGAAGTTTTAAAATGTCTGTAAAAGGCAATGCACAACAGGAATATTTTCATGAGACCATAGTTCCTTTGATTCTGAGGATTTGGTTTCTGAATTTTTCATATAAGCATATCATTTGTATCTTTAATGAAGATAATGTCAGAAAGATCAGTCCCCAAATTTAGTTTAGTTTACTTCACTGACTGCACTTTACTTGGCTTAGAAGCCTCTTAAGCTGTTTTACCTTGTGATGCCTCCTGATAATAATTTTAACTTGTTGCAAAATAACATATTTTTATTACAAGCATATGAGAATGAGATATATTTATATGAGTATAACATAGAGAATGAGATATATTTATATGAGTATAACATGATACATTTTTGTGGCATTTCCCTTCTTTGAGTCTTTTGAGATTTAAAAGTCTCAACATAGCTAATAGCTCTTGGTGTCTCAATTGCCAATGCACTTCTTTTCAACTATAGCTAACAACTTCCTATCAATTGGCACAACATAGCAATGAAATGGTAGAATAAAGTAAGGCAATTCATTTTTTCTACATTTGCATTGCATTGGTGGATCCTTTAGCCCAGAGTTCCTCAACCTTTCCGGCTTTGCAGACCAGTGGGATGGGGGAGACGGGATGGTTCCGCATGTGCAGTGGGCAAGCATACATGTGCACAGCTCCATTTGCCCAAGCGCCAGGCACAGGTGCTCATGCTCATGCAACTGGAACATGCAGGTAAACATCTGCTGCTCACGTGAGTGGGGATGTGCATACACACGTGTACTCACCTGCCACTTCCACGGCCCGGTTCGAAAAGGCTCAAGGTCTGGTAGTCAGGGTTTGGGAACCCCTGCTTTAGCTTAAGGAAGATATCAATGTATAATTTAAAATGTGTGAGTTTGTAAGAACTTGTTCTAGTTGTTAAATAATGGTTGGCTATATAGGGGCAAGAAAAATAAAGTAGATTTTCATAAATTCCGATATTTATTGTGGTAGACTTTTCAAATAGCAAATATCAGTTTGTTGGAGATGTGGAAAACCTACCATAATATATTCTGTGCACCAAACTGATTTGACCATTCCAGCAATCAAATAATGGCTTTTGAGAAGATTATTATTTAGTATGTGATCAGAACATGATAGAAGAGAAATAAACATATATACACTGTCCATCTGTATATATGTTTACTTCCATAGAAGTAAAACCTCTATGAAGTTATGGCAGTAGCCTCATAATTGAATGTCCAGTTTAGCTACCTACATGATCGCCTCTAGCATGGCTTCATGCAAATCTTCTAGGGAATCAGAGAACACATGTTGTGGGCAATCTTACACAATATGTTTAATAGTTTGCATATTGGCACCACAATTCTTTTCAGAAAAACCACATTGTCATGATTTGGAGAAGTTTGAGAGTTTTGCAGAACATATTGTTCTTGAGACAACCCATCATCAGGCTAAAGAATAGCAGTCCCAAAACAGAATTTATAAAGGATTCCACACTTATTTGCGTCATGGGTTAGTTACTTGCATTCTTGATTTTCTAGCATGGTGACAAGGCCTTTGCATTTTCATTTTTTTTAATGACCCTGTAATCCCTTAATTTGCAGTTGAATGGAACTGGGCATTTACTAGCCAGATTAAGTCATCAAAATAAATAACCACATACTTGCTACAATATAAAAAAGCCATGTATGTTGTTGTTAGGTTGCTCTGACTGTATTGAATGTTACTGCTATTTTTATCTTTGTAATGTTCCTACGTTTATTTGTGTTATATTGTTTTTGTAATTTGTTTTACATATTACTTTTTAAACTAATTTGCCAAGTATTCAGGATATTCTAAAAATTTAAACAAGTCTGAATTTTGGTATAGATCATAATAAGTATTCATTTTTAGGTGACATTGGAAGAAGTGATGGCTACAACTGCATACCTAGATCTCTTTTTGCGAAGCATTTCTGAGCCAGCCTTACTCAAGATCTTTCTCCGTTTCATCCTTCTGCACCGTCATGAGAATGTGCACATCTTGGACACTCTTGCAAGCCGGATAAATACTCCATTTCAGGTGAGCGGGAGGGGAAGTCTTTCCTGCTCTTCCTCATTACTGTTGTTACTGAAATTGTTTTAGATATGTATGAAATTTATAAACACTTATAAAGGAAATGTTTGAAAAACCAAATCCAGTCCATACTTTCAGGATAATAATCTAATGCTACACAAGAAAAAAAGGAAAGCAAATGGAAAAAATAAAATTGAAATCTTATCACTTACATAATGAGTGTAACTCTGGTTCCATATAGATAAAATTTACTGTTAATATTATAGATAACAGGCCATTCACGGTAATTGAGTAAATACCTATTATTTTCTGTTGCCATCAACTAGTTGTTCTATTAGTGTCCACTCAGGATTAACAGTCTTGTTGCTCACTTTGTACTCTGGCTTGCATGAAGCTACACTTATAACTAGACTCTGATTTTGATTCTTACAGTCAACTATTACTGTATTATGATTGGGAAGCAGACTTTTTTAACAGAAATAAAGTGTGGATAAATAACTCTGTGTATAGTTCCATATTTATTTGTTTATCCTTGCATACTGGTTCCTTTTTAGAACTCTGAATGGCTTATGAAAAGCTCCCAACAGTCTTTCATAGCAATATTATCCTTATGCAAACTCACATATAGCACTTCTCAATTTCAGTTAGGCCATAGCATTCTTTGAGTCTGAAGGGATATTTGAAAGAACTGAAAAATATGAGATATCCAGTTCAGTTGTTTCATTTAGTTTTCATTTGGTGAAATGAATTTGGTTAGTTAAGAAAATGGCATTGTTCATAACTGTTTGCTTTTTTATTTCTGATTTTTACTTACTCAATAAAGTGACAGTTCATTTGCAGTTGTGGAAATCATCTAGATCATCGTCCCTTAACCTCACTAAGTTTAAGATGTGTGAACTTCAATTCCCCAGCCAGAATCTTAAAGTTGCTGAGGTTCAGAAACACTGCTCTAGATGGCTGCCATTTGGCAGAGGTCATTTCCCCCCTTATATAATCTGACTATTGTGTAGTATTTGTCAAGTGCAGGAAATCAAGAGTCCAGGCAAGAGTCCAAATGAATATAAGGGTTTATTGCAAGTTTAAGCTCTCTATAAGAATCTGGATTACTAACTACTGAACTACTAAGAGTCAAAGTAAATAGGCGCTAGATAAGAGCCAACGGAATTCAAAGTGGGCTGGACTTAGATCTCTTGTGGGCGTGAAGGGGCTTGGGACTGATGATGCGTTTGACCCCTCTCTCGGGCTTAGCCTGGTCATCTTCTACAATATTAGGTCAACAACTGTTTTTTTCAGAATGGACCTGAATGATGAAAGCATTTCAGCAAACAAAGTTATGGCCAGAAGAGTACTAAGATGACTTCGCTGCTGAAAATGATTTGAAATTTAGAATACTTGTACATGAAAAAGAAATCTAAATAACAAGAATATGACATACGTGAATATAACTGAAGAAAATAAATGAGTAATTATAGAATAAGACTGCCTAATTTCATTGTAACCATACAAAACATTTATAAACTATTTTTCTCCAAATTCCTAAGTGACATTGAACATTTATCAAAATTCCAGATTTACAATGAATATCTTTAGTCAGGGACGAGCATCCTACAGGAAGTTTCCAGCTTCCCATTTTGTGGCCTGACAAACAGTAATCAATAATCACCATCAAAATTTGGCAGCCAGACCAGTTCCTTTTAGTGCTATAATTTCCTGTATTTGTTTTCTTTATTGCATTTAAATAAGTTAAATATGATATATAAAGCTTCTGTTCTGTTTGGTGCCTATTTCTAATCTTGAAATTATTTCAGCTCTTCTCATCTCAAAATTCAGATCTGCCAATAAAACAATATCATTACACCATTGGCTACAAAAGAATGTGAATCATATCCAAAATTATGTTATTCATTTTTCTTTTGTCTTTCTACACCTCTTCACCAAGTATATTTGAGCTACATAGATTCATGCTTAAAAGTGTTTCCTGCCTCAGTTTCCCCTTGTGTTTGATTTTGGTGAGGGGCTGGGGAGAGATTTCTGTTTATTGCCTGTAGTCCAATCAAATACAGTGCAAACCTATTTTACATACTGCAGTCCTGTGTTTTAAAAAGTTCTTAAATTCAAGAGAAACTTATTCAGAGATTTAAACTCTTTTAACGCCGATTCTACATTTTGCCTAGGATGCTCAGGTATACTGTTTTGCATCTATTTGTTAAGTTTTTAAGATACTGTTTATCTTATTATTTATTTAGTTTTGTGTCCAATTATTTCACTTGCATCAAATCCTTGTTTGATTCCTTTCATTGAAAATAACCATAGAAATACAATAAAGTTTAATTGTATAAATAATTAAAAGCATCAAATAATTAATTCAAACAACAATACAATCACAAGTTGGCAATAAAATCAGCCATTCAGCAGTATAAAGCTGATTTATTTTTTTGTCACTTCATTAGACCATTTTTTGGGTTTTTCTATAGCTGTGAAATGCATAACAGCAGAATATATGTAGTTGTATAAAACACGGGTGATATTGATTTTTTAATAGTTTGAAATTACCTATATATATATATTTCACAAACCCAATTTTAGAGAAATAGAATTAAGTGGTCCATTTTCATGAAACTAAACACTTGTTTGGTATAATGTTGTTTGATCCAGTGTCATCGGTAATAATAATATCCACATGACCAGCATGATTACTTCATTGGATTGCCAGTATAAATAGAAATACAAGCTATTAAATGGTTGTCCAGATCCTCTTCTGAATAATTGTGGCATGTTACTTATGTTACAAAAATAGCTAACATGGTAGCAGATTCCAGTTGCATAGGATTCTGAAGCAGTAAATAAAAACATTTGCTTCAGTCTGCATTCCTGCCTCTCCCCTTGCCTGACACTTTATTTTGGGCCAAATAAATATGATTAATGGAGATATGTATGCACATACATATTCTGCAATGATTCCAGTTCCAAAGTAGATTTATTCTAAAACTCTCAGTTTCAACAGCTAAATTGCCAGTGTTATTTTTGTTGAACTGTATTGGTAGAGAGTTTGGGTATTTATGGGTATTATGAAGTATTGTCCTTGGGAATCAGGCCATAGTGCATAAATGATGCAAAATGACTTCTTTGTTGTATAATATAACAATAGGACTGATTTCTATAAATAGGTAACAGCAGAGATTCTCAGAATTACACCCACCTGTTGCCATACAAACTGACTGGGTTATTTTGGACCAGTCACTTTCTCTTGGTCCAATCTTACCTCACTAGATGACTTTCAGGAAATGGAGTCTAGTCCAGAATTATGGGTGTGGCCAAGGTGGCCTCTTTTTGTTTTTTCCATTCAGTTGTGTCTGTTTTTCAGAGACTGCCAGATCAAGGTGCTTCAGTTATTTTGGCAAAGTATTTTAGAAGTAGTTTACCATTGCCTGAATCCTAGGGCTGGGAGAAAGTGACTGCTCTAAGTGCCATTACCCATTACAGCAACCAACCAAACTGGCTCTCTCAGATAGCCTGTAATTTTGATTAAATAGATATATGTTGTCTACTATAACATAGTTTTTTATATTAGAAAGAACAGTCCATTTTCATTTTAAGATCCATATTTAAACATGGCAAAATTATCATGCAGATGTTTGAGAATATTGAACTTAATTACAGTTTAATTCTCTTTCAAACCATATCACAATTCTTTTTCTTGCTCTTAAAACATTTTTCCCATCTCCCAGCATATATCTCTGTTTATCTTTGGTTTATGCTTTTAGGCATGCTAATTTAATTGTTCTGGAAATATGTAACAAAGTGAAACATTTATATAATTCTTTCCAAATTTATCACAATTTAGTTTGGGTACTATTTGCAAGTATTTTTTTCTTTTTACCTTGGAAAGGATGAAAAAGTATGCATTCATATTGTGCTTATCATTTCCCAGCTTTGTGTGGTGTCCTTGGCATTGTTCAAAACACTTATCAGTTTGCATTGTGAAGATGTGATGCTGCAGCTAGTTTTAAGGTAAAGTCAAACTTTCCTTTCTGAAATTACAGTGCAAATTATTCAGTGAAAATTGGTATCTTGGGATTAATATATATATATATACATACATACATACATACATACATACATACATACATACATACATACATACATTTGTTTGTTGGTTGGTTAGTTGGTTGGTTGGTTGGTTGGTTGGTTGGTTGGTTCATTCATTCCATTCATTCATTCATTCATTCATTCATTCATTTTCTGTAGCCACCCATCTCAGCCACATGACTTGGCTTACAATTCTAAAACAATAAAACAGTTAAAACAACTAAAAAAATCAAAACAATAAAACCAACAACAAAAAATACATGCAGCAGATGAGGTAGTTATGTAAGTAAAGTAAAGCCAAGGAATGGGGCGCTTAATATATTCCAGGCTCCAGGCCCGGACACACAGCTAGGTTTTTAAAGCCTTATGAAAGGCCAACAGGGTTGGGGCTGTTCTAATCTCTGAGGAGAGAATATTCCACAAAACGGGTTCCAGCAGAGAAGGCCTACCTTCTAATTCCCACCAGCTTTAATGATGAATTATACCATGGGAGTAAATGCAAAATTCAGTATGTAGACAAAGGGGGAATTTATTTAAAAACAGGACCCCTTAGCTGGCTGAAAGGGGCTTATCAGAAATTTAAGAGAAGGACAAGGTCGAAAAGTTACATTTTCCTAAATTCACATAGCTGTTGAATGACCCAATTCATCTTTGTAGTACAGTAGGCAACAAGTTATCTCATGTTTTAGTCCTTCTGTTTTCCTTCTTCATGCAGTTTTTCCTCCAGACTTGGCAAGCTTTTTCAGTTAGAGACACTACCTTCAGAAAGCCAGGGGTGATTAATGGAAGGAACATATTTTTGAAGAGATTAGGAATCTGTTCTTGTCTCAATATTTTTTGCTTTCTACCCCATCTGCTGCTCAGGAAATACCTAAGCAGCACAAGAAAGTTCTCCTTCACCATCAGTCCATTTGATTGTCTATATAAGCTGGTAAAACAAAACATTTCGCTTTTATTTTGCCACCCAATTGATTCTGCAGTGATTAGCCAAACAGACACCACATATCTGTTTTTACCAGGCCATGTTAAAGCTAATTAATTACGTGGCATACTATTTACTATTTGTAAGTTTGCAGTCTTTTCCTGAAAAGATGAAGGAATAGGAGATACTACTCTGGATAAAGTTAATCCTATCTTCTTTGTAGCCTTCTTGTGACCATAATGCCAAGTGAAATGTGATGTACCTGTTGCATTGAAAATATTGCCTTCCAGGGTTCTGCTCATCTGCTTGGCTGAGAGAAGTCGTGGAAAATTCTCTAGAATCTGTGTCCAAAGTCTGTCTTAAACTGCTGCTTCACTTGGCCCACTATTGATGCCTCAGGAAGACACAGTATCCTGATACTTCTACCACCAAAAATACAGTCTTTTATTTTTTTACCTATTACAGGCAAAGCATCTTCTCAGCAGCCTAATCCTTAGTCATTCTGTAAAAAATGGTATTTGGTGTGTTTCAATCTAAATAACAAATAAGGTTTCCTGGACACTTTTTCTCTTTTCTCTCTACTATTTTAGTTTAATGATAGCCTCTTGTTGTTCTAGGTACCTGATACCCTGCAATCACATTATGTTCAGCCAGAGATGGTCTGTGAGAGAGAGAGATTGGTATTCTGTATCTGCTGCTAAGCTGCTTGCCTTGACTCCTATCTGTTGTTCAAGTGGCATTACTCTGACTTTTGAAAAGCAAGAAAAAGATTATATTCTCTGGAAAAAAAATAATCATTGCGCAGGTAAACATTTATCTGCTTTCTAAAAAGACAGTCCTTGTATTAAGTTGATTTGATTTTTTCCCACACCAATATTCATATTTGGAAATGTTTTAGAAAACTACTTTAGTCTACAAAGGAATTTTATATACAAATTTAAGTAAAGGTAGTAATAAAAATCCTCTTAAAATCTAGGTAATCAATGGTAATTATCCTTTTTTGGGGTGGGTTACATGATTCACAAATCTTGAATATAAAGATTTTAAGTCTTATTTGTCTTATGCCTAATTTGGAGTTGGTATTGCCCAGAACATGCCCCATTATTAGATAATTTGAAAATCTCAAGCAACTATTTTTGGGATCATAAAAGAACAATAGAGAGCTTATTTTAGTCAAGGAGAGATAGACATATTTATGGTCATTGTTGTCTTTGATTGGTCTTTACACTTAAGAAAAGGGAAAGAACCATTTCCTGTTCTATACCATGTTGCAGAATAACTTGTCAATCCCAAATTTTATCTAATATGGGCTAAAAAAATACTTTCTACCATATGTGTTTGATTCTATGACATACAACACTAAACATTACTTTGCAGAAATAGAAACTCGTCCAAGAATTGATAACATTAAGCATGCCAAAAAAAACAAAAAACGGATGAGGAGTTGTGTCATGTTTGACAGTCCTGATCTAGGGCTGTGTACTTCCAATAATTCTGTATTCATGTATTGCCTCAATCCACATGGATTCTGAGCTTTGCACAAGAACTAGAAACCACATCAAAACATGTTGCTAATAAATATGATTGCCTATAATCACAAAAAAGTCCAATAGTCCAGTAAAATAAAATGGTTTTTAGATTGTGGAACAAAGAACTACAGTTTATGTAACACTTGAGTTCATCCTTGAGAAAGTATACCTGTGTGGTTGCTAAGATTCAGCATTGATTCAATGGCAAATAATATTTGGACTAAATCATGTCAAATTGTGCAACTGTATTTTTGTGTGATTTTTGAGCCACTGCATGGATTACAGAATACATGAGGATGGGAAGAAAGCTGCTTCATTTTGTAGAACATACAGAAAAAAAAGCAACCATAAATGTGCCATGGTATTATTTTCTGTTTTTCCATGGAGGCACCATAGTTCCAGTGCTCTGTCACAAACATCTGATAGCATTATGGAAAGCTGAATAGATAGCATTTCCATTCAGCTGAACTTGCCTGTCTAGGTTTATTGTGACCGTTAATGATGATAGAAATATATGGGTTCTCAAGTTGAAATACAGCACCTAAACAGAGGGAATTAAATCTCCTTTTCTGACTTAAAAGAAGTGCAGCCATTTCCCTAAGACAAAAAAATCTCACCCATGCAAACCAATAAAATGTAAGCTAGTTGCTTGAAGCTTTCATATTTATTCTACAACGGTATCATAAATATCTCAAGACAACTTGGTCGTAGATCAGCTGAAATAATTTATTGGAAGTATGTTGGAAATTACCTATCTAGTGACCAGTGGCATGATCTTGAATTTCACATTGTTTTGTGTTTATGGTTGTCAATTCAGTCAGACAAAGGAAGCATCACAATGTTAGTGGAGAGAAAAAAAGAAATTCTTCTTTATGATGAAAAATAATTCACTGAATTTGTTTAATGTCAACAGTGAACTAAATGTTCTGGAGCTATCAAGTCATTCCATGCCACAGAATTATATTATATTTTGCCAGTATGCAAAACCTAAAGACCTTTTAATTTCATTTGTTCCCTACAAAACCAAAACAATTATTCCTGTTATACTTTCTTAGTGAGACATACTGAACCATTACACTTAAGTAAGATTAATGTTAGGAACAGATTATTCAACCATAATAAAGAAAGGATCAATTTAGAGGGATAAAAATTGATGTACCACTTGGGCAGTGCTGCACCATGCATCTCTTCTATACTGTATCATGCAAAATCCAGTAGCTTATAGAATAACGTGTTCCAAACTTGCCCCCTTCCAGAAGGTTAGATTTTAACACTCAAATCCCACCATCAGATGGCCATTGCCAAGAATTTTGAAAGTTGAAATCATTTCATATGGAGAGGTCCAGGTGAGACCTAAAGGGCCTATCCCTAGATAGATAATATGCCTTAAAAATAGAATTGAGTTCCTTTTATTTTATTTTGTGTCTCTCAGAAAAAAATGGCAGATGCTTCATTTTTCCTAGGATGTGTTTTTGTAGCAGAAATACAAATCAGGATTTTATGTTAATATGTCACAAGGATCTTAGTATGCAGGAGTTTACCTGCTGGCAATGCAAACTACTGGAATACTTTGTTGAAAACTATATTTTGTAAGGTGATACCCAAAGTTACATTTGCAAGTATAAATAATAAGTAAAAATATAATTACCACAGTGCAAAAGAAATAGGGAAAGGTTAACTAACTTTAGAGACAGTCTGGCATTAATACTGATATTCTCTCTTTGTGCTCATTCAAATGCTTAGCATTAAATCTGTATCTTGTTTAATTATACTATTTATTGATGTGATGTACAGCTGTGATACCCATGTAACAACGATGTCTAAATGAAGATTTGTATTTCCCCTTACTTCCCTGTAAACTTTTGCTACTGCATTGCAGATTCCTCCGAAGAACCCTCCAGGAAGAGCATTGCAGACTCTACATGTATTGTGAAATATGGGGAAACTATTGATATCAGTTACTTGCAATATCTTTGGGATGCTCAAACTCTCATACGGCACTGTATGAAAGATTGTGAAGTCTGGTCTGCTCCATATGATGGGGAAAATCCCAATCCATATACCTTTATCCAAACTTCAGTTGAAGAAGAGGGTAAAAACCTAGATCAGCCTATTTTCCAACTGCAACCCAGAACACCTAGTAATCATGTTTCTTCTCAGGTGAGACCATTGAGAGAAAAGACACAACTGGAGCTGGAATGGGATGATAGCTATGATACTGGGATCTCTCCAGGATCTGATTCAATATCTCCCCAGCATGATGATAATTTTAATACCCAACCTCCTGCAGAACCACCAAAGCACATTCAAGAAATGAAGAAAAATGCTATCATGTTGATCAAAGGATCATACATAGAAGAATCAGACTTTCAGGATGATGTCATGGTTTATAGGCTATGTGCTGAAAAGGATGCACAGGAAGCAGACCGCTTAAAGGAGGAACTTTTAATATCAAAATCTACAGATGTAGATAATCCAGATGCCATCTCTATCAATGGTCCTCGAGAAAGCCCCGCATCAGATTTAAATTTGGAGGAGGAGCGCAATATAAAAAATTCAAATCTGATCCAACAAGCGGAAGATGGAATCCAAGGCAACATTGATGAAACAACTCTGCAACCTGATTTGGAACAGACACTGTCTTCCCTAGAAGGAGACCATCACACTAACATGAAGTTGTTGAGTCTTGACCGTGAAGATTTTATTTCCGAATGTGATAACATCATTAAAGAATTGGACTCAAATTCTTCAGGCTTGGTAGAACTGAAACTGCTGATTCCTGATCCAGTATCCCCTATTGAAGAGGAAGAAGATTTTGAAAACTTTTCAGCAGATACTCCATCAGCGGAAAGTATGCCCTCACCCTTTGGATTAAAAGATGCTTGGCCTAGCAACCCTCCAAGATTCCAGAATATCCCATTTACCGGTACAGTTTTCTAATTTATTAAGCCACTCATGCTTTTTACAATGACATAGTTCTAGATGTGAATAGCAGGTGCTGGTACATTATTTTGTATGCTTGCATTTTTATTGGGTTCTTTGTTTAAAATACAGGTAGTGTTCAACCTACGTCCACAGTTGACCCCAAAATTTGTGTTGGTAATTGAGAAATTTGTTAAGTGAGTTTCACCCCATTTTATGACTTTTCTTGCCACATTTGTTAAGTGAATCACTGCAGTTGTTAAATTAGTAACCCAATTGTTAAGTGAATCTGGTTTCCCCATTGACTTTGCTTTTCAGACGATTCCAAAAGTTGATCACATGACCCCGGGACACTGCGACTGTCATAAATGTGAGTCAGTTGTTAAGCATCCAAATATACATCACATAACCATGGGGATGTGGCAACAGTCATGTGAAAAATGGTCATAACTCACTTTTTAGTGCCGCTGTAACTTTTTATTTTTTTAATAATATTTTATTAATTTTCCAATTTTACATCTAAGTATTTAAGCAATGTGGTGGCTGGGTTAATCAATAGTTCAATAACACAAAAATCTTTAGTACAAATCTCAAGTTACAACATCAAATATTTCCTCTCTTTTTCCCTTAATATCTACTATCTCGTATTTAAGTTAATACAGTTCTTATTTTATCAACTAAGTAAAAACATCATTATTACATTATCATTATCATTATTACATTATTAGCTATCTATTTCCCACCATATTAAATCATCTAATTAATAATACAGTATCCCCTTTAATAAATCAAAACTATTATATATATTGTCTGGGTTAATCAATAAATCAAACACATTCATATTTTTTTCCTTTTGGGTCTATTTTTTAAATATTAAACAAATAGAATCCTTATTTTCAACTAGTTTCCAAATATTTTAAATTTAATGACCAAAATTCCACTTATCTCAACTTTTCCCTTTAACCCTCTAATTAGTAATATGAAATCCCCTAATAAATCAGAACCCCAATTTTCAACTAGCCTTTCATGTCAGTGCTTTTACGTCATCAAACAGATCTCCCTCTATTATTATATATATTATTTGAAATAAGAGAGACCATTTAGTTGCCATTTTTATTGGAAGGGCTAGCCCATTTGTATTCATTAAATCGTCTCCCTGTTATTTCAATTCCCCATGATTGTCCTGATATATTTATCTTCCAATCCATCTGTTCTTCTTTCTCAAATTTCTTCTGATTTATGTAGAAAGTCTTTTCCATTTTCAGTGTTGTCACTCCCTTTTCTGGATTTTCCATTAACTATTTGTTGATCAATTGAGTCCTCTGTCTTAGTATTTGATTGTTCCACTTCTTCTGTTATCTTCTGTGTTGTTAGTTCTTTGATTGTAGTCAAAATTCGGGTTTATGTATCTAAGCTGACATCTTGTTCTTTTATGTTGGGTCTTATTTTGTCAAAAGCTGAAAGAATGGTTTCATGTATTGCTTTCAACATGGAAAGGATCTTTTCCTGGTCTTCATCCATATTCTCTTAATAATGTGTTAAGTTGAGGACTTTAAAATCAGATTTTAAAAATAATTTTATAACTAAGTATGGGACCTCTATTTCACATGTTTATAGGTAGCCTTTATAGTAGAAGTCGTTTGCAAGTAAACCAATGTTCCTCAAATAAAGAGATAGGAAAGCAATTCCCTACATATAACTCTGAAAGTCAGTAAAGATTTAAATTCATAGTTCAAGCAGGCCAGTTATGCCTCCCAGAAGTTCTCTTTATAGCTGAGTTTCTCACAGGTGGTATCGAGGGTGAAAGAGTTTTATCTGAAGTCTGGGCTTCAAGCCAAGTCTCTTTTAGGCAATAACAAGTTGTGATACCAAACTTCGCCACAAGATGTCACCGATGCTGTTTAAAATTTTTTAAGTCCCCCGTTTTTATAATAGTTTTTCAAAGTATTTCTTTTCTTTTTAGATAAAAATCAGCGTATCCAGTAGAAATAGGAATAAGAAAACTTTTAGGAAAACTTTTTAGTCCCCAGATTTCAAAAGTATATGCATTCAATTAGATTAAAGTTGTTTTTATAATTGCTTTATTTCCCCTAGGTAATCAGTTGCCACTGTTCTTAGAGGGTAGGGCAGGAATTCACTTCCCTCTCTCCTCACAGGGGAAAAGTACCTAGGGCAGCTTTTGCAGGAAAGATATTTAGAGTCTTAAAGAGAAGATCAGATCTCACTCAGTTTCATCCGCGTTGCTTTAAAGGTGCTTGGTAGTAATTTTGATTTTGGCTGTCAGCAGCTTAATGACGAGCCATATTGCTATGGCCAGTCTTTCCCTCGCCGGTTTAGAGAGCTACCCCAGATCAAGCGAAAGGGCTGCCACCCTCCCGCGATCAAGCGGGGATCCCCTCCTTGCTCGTCACCCCTACAGGGTGACTTTTGACTCTTTCCAGGGTCCTCCAGTGGGATGAAATTGGACGCTAAAGACGGAGTTTGCTTCCATGTGTCCGGAGGCACAGTGCTGCTGTAACTTTGAATGGTCACTAAGTGAACTGTTGTAAGTTGAGGACTACTTGTAGTTTACTTAATCAGCTTGACTTTATATTTCCTGTATAGAAAATCTCTAATGGTGACACCATTTAAGGTTGTAGTCCTGCATGCTTCAAAAGAAAGACAAATTTAACTATTAGTGTTAAATTATGTTAAATGAGAAATTGCTACAGAAAAAAAACAGATATTCTTAATTTAACAATCACTTCTCAAAGTATTAAATAGAAATTGAAAGTTGCTTGCTTTTGCTTTCATTTTTTAGCACTAGATGGCAGCTCTGTTGCCATTTGGTGTATTTGCCCCATTTTATCTCCACAGTGATTATTCTTTATCAGTGTGAATATTCTGTAATATTCCATCTGCTGTCAAGCAACATGTAACTTTGTATCACAATGCAGCAAGTCTCTTTGTAGCATCATTAGATTAAAGCATTTTTGAATAGATTTTATAAATTCTTGGAAAGCACCTTGGTCTAAATGCCTCAAATTCTGGAATTAGATCTGTGATGTAAAATTCACTCAATGAAACCAGCAACTGGAGAGAATTCCAGGCAGTCCTTTTGTTCGCAGATCATTGGACTCTTGCATCCACATGAGCCAAGAGTTTCAGTCTTACATGGTATGTTGATTAAATATATTTGAGTATACATACCGTATGCATTAGTTTAAAACAAGTTTATAATTACTTTATAACTGATAAGGAGGAAAGTAATAGAAAGAGGGACATGGATGTTTGTGAAAATATTATAGGCACATTCCTTGAAGTGCAACCTAGTAGTTTTGATCTATGATATATGGCAACACTCTTAATTGTTATTCTTAACAACCTTGTACTGCATGTTATTGCAAGGACAGAAAGAAACAAATCTGGATGCCTCCTTGAATCTTGTTTTGTTTCAAGGCATGAATGTTATAACCAATTAATCACCACAGGAATAGATTGGCCCACTTTAAAAAAAATTAAAACATTCTTGAGAAATAAAGAGATACAGTAAGGGGATGATGTACCGTATTATATTACAGTGCTATAAGCAAGCATATACTTTTGTTCATGATTTCCATAACTAAGTCAACCTTAATTTTTATTTCAACTTTCATAAATTCTATTAATCTTCATCCATTAAAGAAAACAGAAAGCAAACAGTAATTTTAATTTTTACAATGGTAGTAGATGGATTGATTTTACAAATCTTAATTCAGTTATGACACAAGTATAATGTACAAAGATTTCTTTGTATTCTATGTCAAGTTTGTTATCTTTCTTTGATGTGTTCCAACAGTTGTTTTAAAATCTGCATTTATTTCATTCACCCTCTTCTTTTTTGCAATATATAGCAAATCATTTTCTAATGACTTTATTCATCTATAAAAACATGAATAAAAATAAAATTGCCTGCTAGTTTTATGGCAGAGCACAGGGACAGTGGAGAGGATTCATTGTTTCTTTTTTTACAGGCATAAAATGTGGAAACAGAACTTGTCTGTCCAGGGAATAAGCAGCAAGTATGGAACTGAGCAGATACGAATACTCTATATGTTTTGACTAATATAACATCTGCTGCTTTTAATTGTTTATAAAGTAATGCTCACCACTTACTCACCTATTAACAAGGACACAATTATCATTATAAAATGGGAATATAATGTTGCAAATGTAACTTTTATTATGAATAGGATCCAAGTAAGTTTTAAGATTGTATGGTGAGTTGTGGGTAATATCATTTTTTTATCTAATTTACTTTGTATTGCAAAAAGTTCAAAACCTATACATCTCTTTTTGTCACAATTGCTGGAAGTTAGTTTAATAATAGGCTATTTGTACGTATCATAATAAATTTCTTCAGAAGCATCCCCATTCTGTCTACAACCATTACTTCAGTCACCAAAGTTACAATGGCACTGAATGAATGGTGGTTATGACCAATCCTCAAAGGTTCAGCAGCTTCCCTGCAGTCCCAGCTTCCCTGCAGTCAAATGATTGTGATCCGGATGCTTGGCAAGAGACTTGCACTTATGATTGGTTGCAGTACCCCTTGACTGTGAGATTACCATTTGTGACTTTCCCTGCCAGCTTCCCCAGAAAGTCAATGGAGAACAAGGAAACAAGGTGGTAAGTCATTCAGTTAAATCTTCCCCACCTGTCCATCTCCCATGTGCCTTTGTGCTCACCACACTGCCCTCACACCATTGCACATACCCTCTGGAGTAGGGGGTCCCCAACCCCTGGTCTGTGGACTGGCATTCCAGAAACCGGTCTGCACAAACGAGTAAAGCCTCATCCGCATCCCACACCCTCTCCGGTCCACGGAAAAACTCCTCTCCACGGAACTGGACCCTGGTGCCCAAAAGGTTGGGGGCCACTGCTCTTGAGCCTCACTGCGCCACCTTCATACCCCCTTACCTCCTCCCCTATCATTGTAACACCTCCTGTTCATCTTTGCACATCCTCCCTGACCTTTGCCACAATTTTTGGCCTTAAAAATAAGTCTCTCTTTTGGAAGTTTGTACTGTTTACGTTGTCAAGAGACAAACATTACTTTTATGTTCTTGTCCAGCTAAGATTTTCAAATGGCTTAGACATAATACCTAGTATCTATAGCTATATCTAATATGTAATACATTTATTTCAGTCATGAGTTTTATGACTAGCATTTACTAATGAACATTTATTATGTATAACGTTAACTAATGTCCTTAAACATTAATCTTTGATTTGAGAATTATACAGAAACAAATGGATCCATTTTTGTCCTTTACTGCCACCTACACGCTGGTTTTGTTTATGTGCTTTTACAATTTCACTAAACATGTAGTTGAAGTTGGCATACTATCTTGTTGCTATACTTTTGGGATTGCAGACTTTTTTCTGCTAGGTAACATTATTAATATATGAATTAGGAGATGTCAGATTAATTGATTTGTTGATTGGTGGGAATTATATATCTTTTTCAAATTGCCTGCTTTGCATGTGTTCCGGTGCATATTGTTTTGCAAATGATTGATGCTTTCTTGTAGACTTTTTTTGTCTGATAAAATGGTGCTCCATCTTATCTGCGTTGCCTGCTTCCTGTGTGATTGGCAGTATTCATGTCTGTGTGATTGAATTGTTTGTTGGGAGGATATTTATCCATTTTTGTGATTGTTGAATTGTAATGTTTTTCTGTTATTAGGTACAAAAAATTCAAGAGCATTTTTAGAAAGAATATCAGTCTAGATATAAAGACATAAAACCTAGTTATAGAGCTGTCTCAAAACATATCCAAAGACCCAGAAGTAATGCATGAGCAGCCCACAATATTTTTTCCATATCACAAACTATTTGTCCAATTCTGAGATAAATGGGTAGACCCGTTTTATGGAATCAATAATGAAAACCTAAGTAAATTCAATAATCACAGTGAGCCCATCCCATCAAAAAGCTGATTTCACAGATACGATAGAGTTGTCACCTTGCAAGTCAAAAATCTACCAACAAGACATCATTCAGTTGAAAAACAACATTCGCTTGCAGTACCCCCTCCCCAAGCACTGGCAAGCAGGCAAGACAGATGCGTGTATAATCTCTGCCAATCTCACTTTCTCAAACTTTTTCCAGTGATAATGTTATGTAGTATAGTAACAAAACATCTGCAAACCAAACCATTCTTGGATAGTTCTGTCAATGCAATATGCCAATCCTGAGTAACTGTTGTAAAGCATGGCAAACTATTGGTAGATATAAGGAGGATGGGATTACTTTGCCCCATTCCATTCTGTGAAAAATATCAGTATAAACCAGGGATAGGCAACTTTGGCTCTTTTATGACTCGTGGACTTCAACTCCCAGGAATTCTGGGAGTTGAAGTCCATGAGTCATAAAAAAGCCAAGGTTGCCTACCCCTGGTATAAGCCAAGCTATAATTTAGTTTATCTCTTTGAAAGATATATTTTCCAGGGGCACCAATTACTTGGAATGTGTGGGAAGAGAACAGGAGAAGACACCTTGATTTGGAGGCTTGCTGAATTCAGAATGTCATTGATACTTCATCCCTGAGAAATAGGATAGGAAGATCTCTCTCTCTCTCTCTCTCTCTCTCTCTCTCTCTCTCTCTCTCTCTCCTTCCTTCCCCCCTTCCTCACACTCTCTGTTTGTAAAAGTGGCATTTAAAATCTTGAGGAGAAGAAAGGGAAAATTACAATAGTGTTTTCTCCATCTCTTTATAAATATTTTTCTTTTTTTAGTTTTTGAGGCAGCTGTGCTTTATTGCTAAGTCATTTTGTTGTACACCGGGGCAGGAAGCATAAACTTTTCTGTATATGTTCCCTGTCCTCTGCCCAGTCATATGTATTCCATAACAAGATATTAGCATTAAATGTACCAGCTGTAATGCCACCAGTTCCTAGGCCTAGCCTCTTTGTTGAAAACAGAAATGCAGAATACCTGATAGCTGTGGTTCTTAATCCAATTTTTAATATCAGAGCTCCTGTGACAGTATATCACAGCCTAGGGCTGCCTGTTATCCTGCCATATATTCACTCAAAGAAAAACATTGGATAACAAGTTTCCTCACAGAAAAACATCAGCTGCTGTGCTGGGGAAAGGGAGGAGAGAACCAGGAACATAAGACTTTCTGGAAAAGCACAGAAGAATGGCTGTCAATCCTCCCTCCCCCCCCCCAATAGATTCTAGATAACATTGGCAGCTGAAGGATCCTTAGTTTCAGGAGAGGCTGGGCTAGACAAGTGGGGATTTCAAGACTGAAGGTGAAGTACCAATGAAGGATGACTCTACTCATTGTAAATGGCTTTTATGGGAAGTGGGGAAGGGAGAAATCGTATCCTGCCAGCCTAAGAGAGGCAATGCCAGCCAGTACCAGTCAATCCTTTTTTTTTTTTTAACACTAAGTAGGAATCTAGAAATAGCAATGCATACATTTAGTTAACACAATGGACTGCACACATATCCAGTGGAAAGGCAATTTATTTTAAAAATGCTTGGCCAGATGCTAATAAATCAAGCCTCTTTTTCTTGCAGTTCTGCTCCTTAGCAGAAGAGAGACAAGAGAGCTGAAGAAAGGAATACAGTGATTAACGGTTGCTTACCTTCTGCAATTACTGTTTGTATGCCTGCAAACGAAACAAATAATTGGCCTTATGCTGCTCATTTTAAATAAAATTGTAAAATATGTTGATGCTAATTTTAAATAAAATCTTAAACTATGTTGAGTTGCATCAGATCTCACAAACCCCTTTCCTTTTGCTCCTCCTTTCTTATGATTCAAAAATCTGTTTTGTTTTGATTTGCTTTTTAAATCTGCAGGCCCGTTTATCAGCGTTGTGCTATCAAAACTGGAAAATATGTTAGAAAACTCCTTGCATGTAAATTTGCTGCTTATTGGAATAATTACTCATCTGGCCAGTTACCCACAACCTCTTCTTCGTTCATTTTTGCTCAATACAAATATGGTGTTTCAGCCTAGTGTGCGGTCTCTGTACCAGGTACTACTTTAATACTAAAAAGAAATCTTTTAAAACTCACTTTAAAGTGTAACACTTATCCTTTTTTTTTTTTTAAATACGTTTTTGGTTCAGTTTTTGCAGAGTGATATTTTAATGTTGATTTATTAAAATGTAATTGTTTAAATCAAGAGAATATAAAATATCACAGTAAGATACATTATTAAGGACAAAATACATAATTCAGTCATAATTTAGTGAATAACTGATATAACAATTTGTAGCTATATAGATCCTATTTATTTATTTATTTTACTTTATTTTGGGGCAGGTACTGGCATCTATAAAGAATAAAATTGAGCAGTTTGCTTCCATTGAAAAAGATTTCCCTGCTCTTCTGATACAAGCACAAAAGTACCTGCTTTTACGAGTAGATGCACTGGATGTTCCTTTAGAATCATTAAATAAAGGTAATAATCATTCCTGATAAATTAAACATATTTTTCTAGCTTTAATAAGAATGGAATAAATGGAAAGTAAACTATATTTTATACAGTGCAAGGTTATTGTAGATAATTGTTGGGATTAATTTTGCGAATTATCCTTACCATTGTCTTTAGGTAAGGATAGTTGGCATCTGTTCACCAATTTAGAGTTGTGTTCATCTTGACCAGAACTGGCAGGTATATTAAATGGCCAGGACATATGTGAGCTTGAACTATCAGCTTATCTTAATGTTGGGAAACCAGAGAATAATCCTTTTTTTCTGAGTTCCATAATATTTTCTAACTGCTTAAAAATAGTGGCATAAGTTTCAACATTGTTGAGCTGCATGACTACATTATGTAAAACAACATAAAATCTAAAGTATTTTTAACATAACTAAATGTTCACTGCAATACTCATATGTCCCAAAGAAACTAGAGCAGAAAAAAATCTAACTCTCAGTACTTATGGATGACAAAGTGATGAAACTTTGTATAGGCAAAATAAATATGCAACTTTTTAAGCTATAGCAGTAATGGCAAACATTTTAGAGACTGAGTGCCCCAACTACAACCCAAAACCCACTTATGTATTGTTGGGTGCCAGATAGGTGTGGCCCATTGGGTGGGGGCGGGCCCATTGGGCAGGCGTGACTGTGGTGGTAATGGCAGACTGGGTGGGACTAAAAAGTTCAATCAATTCCAACTTTGCAAGATCTTTTTTTCCACAAGAAGTTGAAATTGATTGATTGAACCTTTTTTTTTTTTTTGCGCATGGTGGCGGAGGCCTAAAGCGAAAAGGTTTTATAAAACCCAGCTAAAGGCCTAGGACTGGGGCGATGGCGCGGTGCCATAGGTTTGCCACCACGGAGTTATAGTCTTACTTTTCCTGATATCCTACTTTTATCTCAAGAAAATACTATTATACAGTTATAATTTTATTTATGAAAGACTACCTTAAAACTCTTATTACTATTAATACTACTACAGATATTTGAAAATCACAGATTTTTAAAAATAATTTCCATCTATAGCTGTAACAGCCATTATTAAAATATTGCTTTAAGTTGCTTTATTTTTAGTAAGGCTATGTGATGGAGAGAGCAGTTTCAAACATTCACTTGGGAATTCTATTAGTAAAAGGTTCTGCAGTTTATGCATTGTTGCCAGAGTTGAGCAAATCTAACATCTCATGAATGCACTTGCCAAGTGGAATGGACTGTGGTAAAAATAAGTCTAGCTACAAACACTTTAGGGCATACAGGTTAGGTTATTTCATATGAGACAACATTCTCCTATTGCAGCTGCCTTTTGATTATACTGTTGTCAATTCTAGCATGTTAGCCAAACTTTTATTGGAACAATTTGTAGGCTAATAAAACCAAAAATGCATTGCTCCAGGGAGAAGATAGTCATCATTTTCTGCAGCCCCACTTTGACCTGGGATCTTGCATAAAATTACCCAATAATTTTATGTAAATAACACTGTTGTGAATATTGCTCAAGAGTTGTTTAACTGTAATTCAGGAAGAAAAATTCTCTGTATAAACTAGTGGTTTATTTCTCTTAAGCATCTCTTGTACCAAATTCCCCAAACTGTTTTTTGAACTTGGTCTTTAGGATTTTGTCACATCATTATTTATTTGACAAATGAGTAGTTTATAATTCATTATTGAAATTGATACCCCATATGTAAAGTTAGCAATAATTTTCTAAGAATTTGGCAGAGTTTTCCTGATCCTCTTGCTAACCACTCCACAATGCACTGAGAGGTGGAGAGGATGTAGTGTTGGTTCCTTTTCATATTTTGTATTTGTAATGTTTGACAAACTGTTATCCTTTGCTCAGGCTCTGAAAAATTCTTTATGTCTATCTACACAGAATACTATATCTGCTCTTATTTTATTCCCACAGCAAACTTATGCATGTGGTTGCAGTTGCACTAGATCAGCTGCTTACTATATATTCTCCCCTAGTGATAAAATTTAAATATTTCAATGGCAATGGAATGAGTTTAAAAGAAGGCCAATTAGCACAGATAGGAAAAAAGTAAATGGAATACAATTAACTTACTATTTATATGAATGGAATTGTCAGTTTTATATGTATATGCGCATTGTCTTTTTAAACTGGAGTAGGTCAGGAGGCTTTTATTGCCTTTCACACATCCTCCTCATACACTTTCATATAGAGTATGTCTTAGTAGTAACTCATTATTTTTGACCCTCATTTTTAACAAACCTACATTATTCTGAAAAGTCATGTCCCAAATTGTAAACTGCTGCATGAAATATATAATTCAGCTGAATTTTTAATTTAGAAGGCAAAACACGGAAATGATTCCAATTATAAAGGCTGGAAGTGTTAATTAAAAGTTGATCTTTTCCCCATCATTGCTAATGTTTGGCTCATAGGTTAAGAATAAACAACTTGGGTAGCATTCTGTGCAGAATGAAATTACTTTCCTAAGATGTAATAATATATTACCTTTAATCAACTTCATGAAAAGACAGGGTGAGTAAAGGGAGCTTTCCTGTTCAGGGGCACGAATATATTTACTGGATGACCTGAAAAGGACTAAAATATGTTCCATGGGGATGATACTGAGGAGTCTTTTAAAAAAATAGCGTACTTGCAATCTTTGGACTGGAGTTTGTGTGTTCCGATTTCAGAATTAACTTTTTAACCCTACTAAGCCTTGATTAGCATTCTGCTAGAATTTTGTGTCAGAGGATTGTTCTTCTATTGCTGTTGTAGATAGGAATTTTCATTAGTGGCTGCGTTCAGGGATAAGGGGACTTTTCAGAATCTGATGAGAACAGTAACCATAGTGACTAATTGCTTAACAGTAGAATGGGTAAAGAGGTTTCTTTATTTTTTTCCAGAAGAGTCCACCTTTTCTTGCTCCTTAATTTCATTGTAAGCTTTGCTTCAGTGTTAATAAGAAGCAGTTGGGACCTTCTTTCCCTCCTCCCAATTTTAATTTCAATGCTTCTTCATTTCTGATTGCCATCCTAATATCTTCTGGTATCTTTTATAACCATTGTCTAATTCTCATAATTAGTGAATCATGTGAAAAATACATTAAGTAACTAGCGTAGAGTTTGAATTTAAAACCCAACATACGGAGACCAGGATTCAAACAATTCTGGTTTCAGTAGGCTGAGTTAGCTAGAAGATTGTGACATCATATAATAGCAGGGGTGTCAAACTGCCGGCCCGCGGGCCAGATGCATCATGGCGAAACGGTGCCCAACCCATTGCCGGCAATGGAAAAAAAGTTGCGATACCCCGTGACACGTCACATGATGTTGCAAGTTTTACACCTCTGTTTTATACTTTTCAAAACTATTTTGCAAGACTCCTAAAGCCTTCTGTCAGAGAAAAATAGATGCCTAATGCCTTTCCTTTGAATTGTAGCCACTCTTTTTATGTGTCCCCCAAGGCATGAGCCAAATGCCTGCTTTGATATTTTTAGCCCTGCTTCATCTATCTCCAAAATATTTAACACATGCAGTATGAACAACACCCAACATCTAGTGAATATTTATTCATGAGGCACTTTGGATTATTTTTCCTTTTGAAATATTTGAGATATTTTAAACAGGAAAATATTTTTAATTCCAGCTACATATACTTTTATTGTAGCCTTGATCATTTGTCTTCCCTAGTTTTTTTGGTCAGTCTGCAAGCTGAATCTATCTTTGTTGCTTACACTCCCATTTTGTAGCAGCTTTTTAGGAATCACTGACTAATGCCTAATAGTTACAGTTTACAGTGCCTATTGTAAACCAGATGTCATCAGCACAGATCATACCAATTAGAAGAGATGAAGTAGAATTAGTTTAGCACAAGACTGTGCTTTGAAATTGGACAACCATTTGTAGAGATTGGACAACCATTTGTCTGAAATGGTATAGGGTTCCTTTTTGAGCAGGAGGTTGGATTAGAAAACCTCTAAGGCAGTGGTGGCGAACCTATGGCACGCGTGCCAGAGGCAGCACTCAGAGCCCTCTCTGTTGGCATGTGCACCACTGCCAGCAGCAGGTCCATCAGGCCGCCACTGCCGCCCGGAGCAGGAGCCCCACCCAGCACAAAGGAGGCAAAGCAGCTGACTAGCAAGCTCAAATAAAGGTGATAGAGCAGAGGTCACCAACCATTGTTGATTGGTGGACTGGAAGAAAAGGGGGAAGCATTTTGCATGCGTGCAGGTGCGCACGGGGTTGTGAGCACGCATGAGCTACAAATGGGATAGGGCTAGTGCCTGCATGATACTCACTAGCCCTGCCCTGTTCTTGCGTGATGCAGCAACTTGTGTGTGCACCTTGCAGTGCGGCGGCAGCCATTTTTGCACCTTGCAGCATGGTGGCCCATTTTTGCGCCCCCGGGTTTTGCGTGCCAGAGGCGGCACTCAGAGGCGCCTCCCTGTCTCCCTGAGGGCACCACAATGCTGATGCAGCCCTGGCAGTTTGCGATAAATAAATGGGTTTTGGGTTGCGGTTTGGGCACTCGGTCTCTAAAAGGTTCGCCATCACTGCTATAAGGTTTCTTCCAACTCTTATTTTGTTAAGACTGTTGGTAATGACCATTTTTTTTAGTAAAATGAAAAATTTCTTCCCCAAACAATACATTCTGTATATAAATATAAAAGATTTACATTTCACTTTCATGTCATTAATTTAAGTTGCAAGACACAAGAGCAGAAGTACATGAAATGCACCTGTTAGGACACTGAAAAGTTCCCACTACATAGCCCTAAATAATATCCAGAATTAGAATGGCTTTTTCATGTTATTGATACTGCCACATTGCTTAGAGTTATAAACCCTGCATGTTGTGATGTGCCACACTTAAGAATCTTGGTTGAGAACCCCATTCATCAAAAGTTAAGTAAAATTTTTCCTGTTAGTAAAATTGATGATTTGTATTGTGAGGCTGGTGGCGAAAATAAAATAATGATCTCAAAATACATTTAAACATCCTGTAAAAGTAACCCAATAATTTTTATTAGAACCTCTAACATTGCATGCGCATTTAAAGTATTTTCAAACATTTTACTTTTTTATTTTTACTTTTTCAGACAACGGGCAGCAGAAGAGTGTCACAGAAAAAGTTAAGAACCTCTCAGAAGCATCGCAAGCCCTCCTCCAGACTTACTTGGGAAATAAAGCAAAAAAAGGCTCTGGTCTTCCCAAAGTCCCCTTGAACATTCCAAACGCCATCCTTGCAGCAGCTCTCTTCCCAGAGTTTCTCAAGGAACTAGCAGCTCTTGCACAGGAGCATTCGATTCTATCCTATAAAGTATTGGGTGATCTTGAGGATTACTACCAATTCTAAAACATTTAAAATACATTTTCACATTTGTTTTAAATGCAGAACTACTTACGACACAAATTTGAACTTCATATTCCTGGTACTACTTGATTCAGGAGAAATTGTTACTTTTGGGGTTGTGTTTCATTTTCATAAGAAATTGATTAGTAATGAAGCCAATACTTTATTTATATCCTTGATTTGGCTGACTTTCAGGTGTTCTCTTTTAAACTTTGCTGTTGTGACCCTTCAGATTAGAAAGATACAGTTATATAAAAAAGTGAAAATATTTTCTTTCTCTTTCTTGCAAAGATTCATTAAATCCAGCGTGACAATCCAATAAGACGATCACTGTTGAAAGGAGAGTTAGCAATCTTCTCTCCAAGTTCTACTTTACCAGTGATTAGACTTCTGAATCCAAATGGATTCATTCTAAGCCTGTGATTTGCTGAAAACAGATGCAGGTGCTGAATGCATACCATGTTGCCTTATGTTGTGGGCATGCCTGGTACTCTAAGCTGTTGACTTCTTTGAAATTTAGATTAAATGAGTAAAGTAAGTGAATGTTAAGTGCAGACTGCAGAGTATTTTTTTTGCCATTCCTTGGCATTTTTTTTTAAAAAAATTAGGTTGCTGCTAAAAAACTCAAGCCTTATTTTAATAAAATTTGCACAGGGCAAAATATTTCTATGCAAACTAACTTTTTTGCAGAATATGTTTGTATATTTTTATTGACAAGCTAAAAAGTAAATGTTTTAGTAGTCTTAAAAATGTAATTATTTCTAAAAAAATGTGATTGTATATTTTGTAAATCATTTTAAACAATGAACATGGTAAATTTCAAAATTGCTTTTGCTGAAATTTTATTTGGTTCAAGAAAATCTTTGTGGTACATTTGTACTTTGGTAAACCTGTTTAATGTACACTGATCTGTTGCAAGATTGCACTTTAGAGAACTGGCTTTAATATATTGCTCTATTAGAATTAGAAAAAAGATTGTTTTCTGGGATAAATACAGTGCAAACTGTTACAATTGGTGTAGCATTCTTTAAGAACATTTTCTTTTTTTGAGTAATGAGACTCATTAGAAGACTCCAGCCAGACATGATGAATTGGTATATTATAGCTGCAGTCCAGTTTGCACTAGAAAGAGTAATTGTCTTTCCAGTGTTGATGCTAACTTTGAGCAATAAGTGGCCCAACAATGGAAAGCCTTCGTTTTCTTTTTCATTGGTGAAAAGGAGAAGCTATTTTAGAACAAATGAAAAAAATGGGCATAAAGACCAAGCTGGAAAACAATTATTTTCATCTGTTTTTAAATTATATTTAGAGGAACTAACACTTGCAAGGAGAATTTGCAATTCCTTTGGTAAGATTTAATATAGCATCTCTACACATAGAGAGTAAAGAAGAATCTGCCTCTGTATTTTTCAGATCATCAAAATTTTGCAGGATGTAAAAATCTTAAAAGTTATAAGTATCTTATTCTGTCCTAAGTTCCATGTTTGTTCATACCATACCTCAGCTCTTTGCCCTTCCTTTGGCAAACACATCTTGGGCATTTTACATTTTTCTTTAGACCTGAATTTGTTCCCCATAGCAATTCTTTTGTGTATTATTTCTCCAGAACTTAAGTAATTGGCACTATAGCGATTGAAGCCAGAATGGTTCCTTTTTGAACTGATGGATAAACAGTTAAAAAAGAACAATGGAAAATTATTTCAATATACAGGTATTCCTCAATTTGCAACCATCCATTTAGCAACTGTTCAAAGTTACAACGGCACTGAAAAAAGTGACTTATGATCATTTTTCACAGTTATGACCTTGCAATATCTCCACAGTCACGTCACCAACTTTGGTTGCTTGGCAACCAGCATGTGCTTCCAGGGTCCTGGGATTATCATTTTCAATCAACGTAGAAAGCAACGTCAATGGGGAAAGCCAGATTCACTTAACAGCCACATGATTCACTTAACAACCATGGCAAAAGGTTCGTAAAATGGAGCACAACTCACTTAACAGTTGTCTTGCAATGGAAATTTTGGGCTCAGTTGTGGTCATAAGTCGAGGACTACCTGTATGATTACAGTGGGGAGATTACTATATGCACAAAGATGAAAAGATTTACTATCATGGAAGAATGGCTGGTAAAATTGACGGAACTTGCCCAGATGACCAAACTCACCTCTTGGATTAGATAAAGGACAGCATCTACATTTGTTGGTGACCTTATTGATTTTTTTTATGTAAACAAAATGATTTTGTGACTTACAGTTTTGAAGATTAGAACGATGGAAGTATAGAAAAAAGGGAAATAATGATTATGTAATCATAGAGAGGCTTTATTAGAATTATATGTATAACTGCAGAGAGGGAGATTGGAAGCCACTTCTTTTATTTTCTGTTTTTTATTATTGTTTTTCTCTTATCTTCCTTTCCTTTCCTTTCTTATTTTTCACATTTACTGATATTTACTTTGAATGTATTTCTTATTATGTATGTAAAAGCTTTTAATAAAAACTACTTTAAAGAAAGTAATTGGCATTGTACCATCAACTACATATTGAGAAAATGATATGTGATTGACTGGATATTTTTGTGATAAGCAAATATTTTATCTTTCCTCCATCTATCTTCAATCTTAGCCAAATAGTAGGCTCATCCAAATGCATGTTCTCTTCAGTACCTTCTTCCTGGTACCTCCCCTTGAACATTCTGGGGAGTCTTGTTATGATTTCATCTAATATTCTATAAATCATAATTAGTAATAAATAATTATTTTATATGGCTCACAATCCGGAGTCATTTGTTGAGATGGCAATTAAACAAATTGAATAAATAAAACCACTCCCCCCCCCCGAGTTTACCAGCTAAGCTTTCTCTGAACAGAAATCAACAGGATCCATTATTCCATTTTCAGTCGTCGCCAAAACTGTCTGATCCACATTATTCAGTGTAAAATCTCTAGCTGCCAGCCAGTTCGTTCATAAACAACTTTTCCCCAAAATCCTTTGTGATTTTAACATGTCATCCTGGAAGCTTTTAAGTGCATCTTCCTTTATGACAACTTCATAGCTGTTCCAGCTTCTCCTATGGGAAACTAAACTCTTATTACCTTACCAACAAACAAAGGTGATATAGAGACACAGTTTGAGTTATTTTCTGTTCTCGCCAGCTCCAAAGTTCCTATGCATATGTGATTAGCTAGCAACAACACTATGGTAGAATGTATTTGTGTTTATAGCATTCCCAATTTATTACAGGGTAGAGGAACTATATATTTGAAGAGAAGATGACCTAGAATTTTAGAGAATCTGCTTAAGAGTTTGTCTGTGTGTACATGCACAAGTCTTTCTGAGGAGCCAGAGGCAAGCATACATTAAAAAATGTGCTTGGGTAAGAGATCAGCAATTAGATAAAAGCAAGGTGTGAAAAAATATGCATGCAGATAGTGCAAAGAATGCAAGGCAACAAAACAGGAAGTTGAGTACTGGATTTATGTTTACATGCCCAGTTTTTTGAGAAATGCGAAAGATTAAAGCAAGTCTAACAGTCTCTGGTCAGAAAGCATGAGGTCTGAAAGCTCAAGACATGGTCAGAAGCAAGCAAAAGCTGGGAATGTAGAAGGAAATCCCAAAATTACATCCAGCAACTAAAAACTGGCAGGATTGTTTAAATCCCCTCCAGTTAAGTAGGCACAGCTGTACCTCCTTTAGCACAGCTGACTGTGATTATGAGCAGCCAGCCACAGGGTGTTGGAAGCTTGCTGCTTGCTTGTGAGTTGTTCACTCTTGCAGAACACACAAGGTATCGAACTACTGTATAATGGTAGACTGAGTAGTTTGCCCTGCTGTCTGATGCCTACACTGGGGAGGTCTCTCCGCTGGCCAAGAAAGCACTTGGCATCAGAGCATCTGAGAAAATAAAGGGCAAAATCCTGAGACACGTAGACACGAATCCTCTGTAACGCCTAGTTTTTCCTCGTCAATAGTATTGACAACTCAAGCTGTAACCAATTCTACAGATTCTATCCACACTCCAGTGAATGTCTGCTTATGAAACATGTTTATATATACACATGGTTATATAGAAGATATGCCAGAAGGTTATAAGGTTATATGTGCCAAAAGCCATATTTTAAAAACACAGAACCAAAATAAATGTAATTGAATTACCTGCTAATTAAAATGAATATAAAATAAGTCCCTTTCACTGATCTTCAATCTGCAAATACCAACCATTATGCAAAAAGACAATTTTTTTCCCTCCTACCACCACATGTAAGAAAAAACACTGAATGGAGATTGGGAAGGGATATTGTTTAGGAATGGAAAGAAAGCAACAAGGAAAGTCTAAAATGTGAAGAAAAGAGACAGCCACCCTTCCTTGTTCCTCAAAGTCTAATAAATACAAGTGCAGCATTTTCCTTCTGATGCACTAAAACTGCATGTTTGTGAAACCAGTCTGTATTGTTTTTATCTTCTTTTGAATAAAATTAAGTAAGCCACTACAGTAGATGCACTGCAATATACTTGTAATAGTTCCCCAAGAAAACATGTTTTCTCCCATTTGAATTTTTCATAAGCCTTAAAATGGCAAGGTGAAGATTAAATTTGCTCAATGGTTATATAGTGCACTTAATTTTACAATTACAGGTAGTCCTTGACCTACGATCACATTTGAGCCCAAAATTTCTGTTGCTAAGCAGGACAGTGAGTTAGGTCAGTTTTGCCCCATTTTACAATCTTTTTTGCCACCGTTGTTAAGCGAATTACTGCAATAGTTAAGTGAATCATACAGTTATTAACTTTGCTTGTTGGAAGCCGGATGGAAAGATTACAAACGGTGATCAGGTGATCCCAGACCATGCAACTGTCAATTGCCAGTTGCCAAGCATTCAGATTTTGATCATGTGACCATGGGGATGTTGCAGTGGTTGTTTAAAACATGGTCATAAATCACTTTTTTCAGTATCGTGGCTTTGAATGGTCACTAAACAAATGATACTAAGTTGAGGACTGCCTCTACTTTGAATTCAAACCATAGCTTGTGTGGTAGGGAAACCATTCACTGTGATTCTGTTGTGCCCTTTATGTCATTTCTGTGCCATTGAGATGGGTGTGCCACCCCCTGTATGGAATAACTTGCATGGGAAAACTATTGGAGGCTGCTTTGAGATTTTGGGAGTGGGGGAATTAATTATAGAATTAAGACTCTATAAACAAAGAAGAGACAACAGCATTTTATATTTTCCTTTTACTATATAGATCTACTGTTATGCGTTACTAGATAAATCTTTAACAGTAGAAAACAGTGAAAACAGGAAGATTGGAAAGTAAATATTACAGTCACAAAAGTGCTGTGAGCAGACAATATTACCCCAGTGAATATAAGACTTAAGAAAACTATTCTGGGCTGCATTTCACACATCAAAAGCCCACAAATCTTTCAGAAGGCTCTGAAATCGAGTGCTGCAGTGTACTGCTGTAATTATCCAGCCATGATTATAGCACTAATTCAAGCTGTAGTGTTGTAATTATTCTGATATAAATGCCATCTCAGGGAAAGGGAAAATTGCATCTTGGTTAATGTGGCTTTGGATTGCTTGCATAAGTAAGCTATTTGGGATAATTCTGTGATGGGTACTATACCAAAAAGGCATTTAAGAAGTAAGCAATCTCTGAAATACTTTTTCAGTAGTATTGCATTAACAGCATTCCTTAACAATCATTTTACATTAAGTATTTTGCTAAATTTCACCTATCCAGTTGCAGCCCGGGGTACTTCCAGCAATTTTTCCTGGATGTGGATATTTATTTGCATCTATCTGAATTGAATGTATATATTTTTATATTTTTTTATGTTCCTTGATGAAAATGAGCAGCACACACTTCCAGGTAAGTTTTAATTGATAACAACATACAATTATATTGTTCATAAGTTCAAAATATTACAATACTTTTGCATAGGGTGTTATGCAAAAGCAGCACTACAGAAAAACAAGTTCATTAGGACTAGGTTCAGAAATCATGTAACATGATTGCTTGGTGTTTTTTTTTAAAGATAGTTACAGGACATCTGTTTCATATGAAATTTGGGATATTTTGAATGTAACTTTTTTTAATGGCACCTCTCTGATATATATGTAAAGATGCTGTTCTTAGAATTATTGCTAGACTAGCTTTAAATGGATATTCTTTCCAACTATAATCACATTCCACAAGTTCTGAGAAACTGTTTTAGATGCATCACACTTTAGGTTAAGCAAAATTTAAATGTGCAAAATTCTGTGTCATCCCACCTGGAAGGATCCTGAGATATCATAGAGCAGGGGTCCCCAACCTCCGGACTGTGGACTGGTACCGGGCTGCAGAAACCGGTCTGCACAAACAAGCAAAGCCCCATCTGTGGGATGCAGGCAGCACACAAAACCACATACTCTCCGGTCCATGAAAAAGCCTTTCTCCATGGAACCAGTCCCTGATGCCCAAAAGGTTGGGGACCTCTGTCTTAGAGGGCAAATTGGGCAGGGGAGGGTTTGGATTATTGCCTTCTGCATCTGTGATGGTTTTTTCTTACTGTCTTGATCTTAGGCACTTCCAAACGGCTCACCAATCTCTCTCTGACTCCCATCAGCCACTGCTGTTGCTGTCCACTTGGCTGAAGGGAGAAAAGCATCTGGCTCCTCCATAAAGATAAAACAGCCATGCAAAGGGTTAGCCTCTAGCTTTTCATTTTTCACTGCTTGCATACATCACCACTAGCATTATAGGCCCAAACCATTATCAAGGGAGCCCCTCAGTTTGATTTTTCTTTGTTTCTCCTACTTCAAAAAGCAAACAAAAACTCACTTCAGTCTGGAACAATCAGTTTAATTTGTTGACCAACTCAACCCAACAATAACAGACCAATTTTATTCTGCATCCAGACCAAAATGCATATTTGACTTTCAGGCACAGGCTACCTGAATCCAGTTGTTTTGTACATGGATTCTTTTGTACATCTCTTTTAATTATCATCATGTAAAAATAGTGCTGTTCATGAAAATAGTCTTTATGCATGTAGAATATTATATTAAAGGAATAAAAGTAAATGTAAATCACAGGATGTCAATTTCCAACCAAGTTAATATCAACTTTATTCACTACAACTCTATCTTCCATTCTGGAAATAATCCATACTTTCACTGTGCCCATATACCAATTACTATATTGCTTTGTGTCCTTTATACCATTCAATTATCTCTGTTTTTAGGATCTTGACAAGGTCTAAAATGAACACAATTGCTTTATCCCTAAAAAAATAAAGACACTAAAAAAGCAAAATTACTTTGAAGCACTTAAGAAAAATTGTGGTGTGGAAAACCTTTAAGCAGTTTAGATAAATATTTTCCTCTTCATAATATTACACTTTATATTACTTGTACAACAGGATTATAGAATCTAAAATGTGACCTTCAAATCGTATGTAACATATTTCTTTTAAATAGTTCCAGAATGTGGAGCTACATGGTAAAAATACCCCATTTTCCCAGTGCA